TGATATTAGAACTTCTCGATTAGAAGCATATAAAAAAATATTTGATTCGAATATACATTATTATGCATACACGATTATTCGTACAGTTGAGTTTTTCTTGTTCTTGACAATTCGTACTAATTTCATTTACTGCATGTTGCCATGTACAATGACTGAAAGAGAATACAATTATGTAGTGATAGTAACAAAAATAATAATAACATCATAATTATAGATGTCGAAAATTTTCACATTTATTTAATTTTGAAATTCTATATCTATCGTTGCTTCTACATTGAAGAAAACTAATTTATTAACATATATGAAATAGATAACTTGTCATTATAATGTCCCAATTTCTAATGACATGTTACTCTTCGCTTGTAAATGACAATCATCACTTTAGTTTCTATTTTGTTGAAATCTTTTTTAATAAATTGATTGTATAACTACTAAGAGCAGAGTTGGAACCGGACAGGTTTTTTCTGTCCGGTCCGGTCCGGTCGGTTAAAAAATCTGTCCGGTCCGGTCAGCAACTGGCCGGACGAATTTTACAGCCAAACTGGCAAAAATCCGGCGAAAATAACCAACCATAAAAGTATCTGTTAGCATAAAATGTTGGCGAAGGGGAATTGAATATTCACATGCAGAAATCCCAACTAGGGGTGATCAATTTACATTTACGAAAGATTTATAAATCCAAAAATAAATTTTAAGAAATTTAAATTAAAAATAAATTTTAAAGTTTTATTTATTTCGAATTTAAATTGGATTTACATAAATTTAAATGTTGTAAAATTATTTAAATTTATTTAAATCCAGTTTAAATCAATATAAATTCGATATAAATCAAAGAAAATTCAATTTAAGTTCATTTAATTGGATTTAAATCCATTTACATTAATTCATATAGGATTTAAATCCAATTAAATGAATTTAAATTGAATTTTATTTGGTTTAGATTGAATTTATACTGATTTAAACTAGATTGAACTAAATTTAAATAATTTTAAAAATTTAAATTTATGTAAATCCAATTTAAAATTATAATAAATTAACAGCAAATCGCCACCATTAATCCGAACTGGAAACTAAAACTTGGGACTGAAACTCTCCCTTCATATTTTATAGCAAGGTGCGTCGACTTTTCGAGCCCGACATCGATATAAATTAGCTATTCAGATCAAATCTGTTTTTCGTCTTAATTTCAAAAAAGAAAAAAAAAAGCAAGTTTATAACACATCTAACATAAAAATGTAAATTTTTATTTTTCTTGATTCAGGCAGCTGCCTAAGTAGAACAAGAGAATAAATTATTTGATCAAGGTTAAATTGAGCGATACACGAGAAAGAAATCGATAGAGATATAAAGCGAACAATCAATCGTTTATAGTCAAGTCGAAGACAAGATACCTATTGAGTCTTTCGCAAGCACATTCTTCTGACTTGAAAATGTCATAAAAAAAACCATTTTCAGGAGAGAAAATTTTGGAATACAAATAACAATTTTGTAATGATGAACCGGCAAAAATCCGGTTCTGTCCGGCCCGGTTTAACTTCTTCTCTGGTCTTGTCCGGTCCGGCCGGACCGGAGCCGGATTGCCGGACCGGTTCCAACTCTGACTAAGAGTGACAATAAATATCTGTACACAGACAAACAACCTTTTCATTTCTGTCATTAGCTTTGCCTCTAATAGGCACAGAAATGCGTCAGAGAAATTTGTCTTTCATATGAAAACTTATATTAACAACTTTTTATGCGTAGTTGCGAAGTGCAGAATTCATAGTTTTATTTAATGACTCTTTTTTCCATAACAATCTACTTTTGCGAATGAAAAATGAAAGTTTTTGGCAGAATTCAACATTTAGATCTCTCTTCCTGAGTGTCAATACATTAAAAAACTGGATGCTCTTTTGAGAAAATGAAAAAGCGTCCTGCACAATTACTCATATCCAGAGAGATCAAAAAATATGTTCTTAGCTTTTAGAGAAGAAAGAATATGTCTTCAATGCATAGTTAAGGGTATCGTCATTTTCTGCCGTTTTTGAAAAACATTTTTTTTATCTCATCCCATAATGCGTTTTCTACTTCAAGATTCAGTAGATACAAAATCAGTTTTATTAGATCGCCTACACGATGCTGACACTTTATATATGAAGAATTATCAATAAACATGTGTTAATATTTCGTTATCAAAGCATAAGAAATTCTAAAACGATACTTTTACTGACGTGTACAATCATTTGTACGATATGAAGCAGTATGTTCTTTGACGAGAGGCAACAGTGAAAGTTAAAAAAATTGATTTTTAACAGTAATCGCTCTCGTATTGCTCGTAAATAGATGTCGAAAAACCTATGATCTTTCTATTACCTAAAAGACATTGTCTTTTCTCAGCCGATAGATTTAAAGAACAGTTGAATGAGTGGCAAATTCAATAAGCAACATCCTTGAAAATAGAACATTGTCAACTAGCGACACCTATTGATAATTCTATAACATACAGAACAGAAAAATAGTATAATATGGACCCGAGTTTGACTCATATCGCATGACCTTTTTCTTGCTTTCTGCTTCCTTTCTTTTTTTCTTTCTTCCTTCGTTATTTTCTTAACTGTGCAATTTCTGCAGAGCTTATGACTATATAAGAATGAAGCAAACAATTCCACAAGCATACTTACCTGCCACGGATGCATTCACGATCATGAACGTGAATGCTCCAGGTCGAGGCGCGGGCATTGCACACCGCCCCCGTTGACGCCTGCGAAAAGTCCACATCGGGCTTTCTCGAGTGGATAATTTGTTCCGCGGCCACTTGCGTTCGCGCATTGGCCATTTCAAAAAATTTAAATGAAAATTTCTTTTTGAGTTATCTAATGCATATCTTTTATCAAATCTTTTTTTCGTTTTTTACTGAACAATTTATAGATGAAAAAGACATCAAAGTGTAACACTAGTAAGGAAATATTATATTTTCACCTTTCATTTTCTTGTATTTCACAAAATTAAACTCTTGAAACTTTAGTAGAACTAAATCATTTCAAAATATTAAATCTATAAGTTTTAGTATAGATGCTGTCATGCGCCATTGTATTAACTTTTCAATTATTTAAGCTGATAATAGCCGATATTAAAGTATTGGAGAGAATATTAATTTCAGGTTGGCTTCGTAAGATACACGTTAAAACAAAAAGTGTTTTCTTCACGAACATGTTTTCAATTATGTGTCTACCAATTGAAGAAATATGAAAATTATCGATAGGAATAAAAACAACGAAAAAAATTAGGTAATTTCGACAATGTAATTTTTCAAGATAATATAGTTTTTAAATAAATATAAAATATGCATGGTTTTGAATTCCATTAGACATATTTGTATCAATTGCATTGAATGGCAACTTTTATTTCACAACCAACCGATGCTTGACGTACAGAAAACATCTGGGATACATAAAAAGAGAATTATGAGTATGGAAATAGAATAACAGTGAAAACTTTAAAAAAGCCGTGTTAAAAAGAAAAATAGCACTATGTTAACGCTTTTTTATATCAGCGAATGATAGATTTATATCAACACAATTAAAATTAATAATGGATTAGGACGATCATCAAATACACGAACATTGTTCAAGATTTATGATTATAAGCATAAATAACTAAAAAATTAATTCACTAGTACATCATAGGGATTTTACAGATTATTTTCTTTAGTAAAACCTTACGAACTTCAAACGGCACATTTATTTAATATTAAATAGGTCAAGGTGAAAAAATGTGACTTCAGTGTTTGAAAGTACGAGTAAAGTACGGTGAGTATCGTTCTTTGAAGTAGTGAAGTCATGCTTTTTCTATCTTGGTATATGATGTATTCATTTGTATAAGTATATTGAAATCTATGCTCTTTAGCATATTTGACTAGTCAAATAGTTTTTATGATGTGAATTAATACAGATACTTCTTAGAATAGTAGCAAAGAAAGTAGCTATTGAAAAATCTGATAATTTAAATTGAAATATATTCATTTATTGGAACTCTTAGTCAAAAAGCAGATTCTGATTTCGAACAGACATCTTTCTTTCATATCACACGACTGATTTGCTAGTTTACTGAACACTATATCTTTTTAATAGAAAAACAAAACTTCAAAACGTATTGTCAGGAAACATAATTTAATGATACCACATTTCCCTTTTGAAGGAGTTGAACTCGGTACGACAATAGTTTTTATTAAATTAATCATGTTCGATATCGATATCAATAATTCTTTTATATTTCAACATCGATATTTTTGTTTATATGTTAATGGAGAACCACATCAAATTCTATTACATATAAGTACTATTTCAACAGTTACGCTCCCATTGTTCAATCTTTGATGCTGATTACTGCTAAAAATTTATTGACTAATTTAATCCGAAAGAAACATGATACTATGCATTCACTTTTTTCCAAATCAGACTTTGTTGCAGATGATAATCTTCAAAGATCAAATAAATCATACTCATATACAGGCAAAGAAAATCATCAATCAAAATGTATTACTATATTATAATCACAAATTTTAACAATCATATAAAACAAAAGTGAAACTTTTTTTTTTGTCGAAAGTGATGTTTTGAATCACGAATCGATATTGTACACAAATTTTAACGTTCAATATTCATGGATTTAAGCCATCGATAAAAAAAATCTTCTCAATGAATTGCTGTTGAAAAAATAATATGCATATAAAATATATAAAAGTATTTAAAACTTGTTCATCATCTAGCGTCCTCTATTAAATATATTTAAATAAATATGATATTATTTTCTTTGTAATCATATATTCTTTTTACAATACCGATTACATGAAATACTAAATTATTATTTTGTAAAATTCGACTAATGATTAAATATGGTTGATATATTAACCAGTAATAATAAATTGTTCACTAGCCATTCCATTCATGTAGTTGTATACAATAACCATCATCTTTCATGGTCTTTAATGTTCTGTTTTTTTTTTCAGATTGATAAAAAAAATGGTAGCTGGCTCTGGTAAAACTTATGCAGCTGGTGGACATCATTCATCACACGTTGATGTTGGAAAAGGAGCAACTACTTATCCAGATCGTTTTCCTAATTCTTGTCAATTTCGTATCCCAGGTAAAAAATGAAATCATAAATCAAATTTTAAATATTGAATATAATTGTATCAATTTTTAGATTGGCGTTCATATAAAGTTGATGGTATACCTGAATTAGAAAGTCATCGTTCAAAATTATCGAATAAAGGTCTTCGTGATCCTTGGATTCGAAATCAAGTATGGTTATTTGATCCAAAAGTTGGTGCTTATCCAACATGGCGTATTAGTTTACGTACTGCTTTCTTTGGTTTGCGTTATGCTATGGTAGCTTTAGCTACTTGTCTTATAACAGAAAAATTACTTGAAAAAGCTTTTCCACCATTTCATGGACATATTCATTTATACAATCCGGATAAACCTCATTCACATGATCATCATACTGATCAACATCATTAAAAACTCTCCTTTACTTATTACCTTAGCGTTCTTTTTTTCATATGTAGATTTTTGAAAAAGAAAACATCCATTTTGATCCTTTTATTTTGTTCATTTTTTTATTCTACATTATACAGGTGTCATGGAAAGAATGATTACATCAATAATTACATTATAGAAATATTACCAACAATGATCTTTTCATTAATTGATATATCGCGATAATTAACCTTTCTAGAACTAATTTTTATATGTTGTATGTATGTTTTACATTACTATAGATATTCTAGAAAAGTCAGCACTAGGGACGTTTCTTCAAAAGAGTTATCAGTAGAAAACGAACATTAAATGAACATCGTTATAGACAACTCGTAAACCTATAAAGTCTCTATTAAAAATATTGTTTGAGTATGTTTAAATTTTTCATTAGCGATGTGATGGATGACGAAAAAAATGCTCTTTGTAATCGAATGAAAAGTTCAAAACCAATATCAAATGATACACATATTTGTTCGAAATCTCTAGTTGATGGTAAGATAAGTTTTCATGGGTGTTTTGAAACTTGATACAATGTCTGAAAATTTCATCAGGGATGCTATTCATTCCGTAAAGTTTCTTAGTCAGTTTGCAAATTTTTTTCTCATTTAGTTAGAAAGAAATTTGCTAATTAGTTTTTTACTTAATAATCAACTGGAAAAACCAACATTTTTACATATATCTATGTGAAAAGAATTTATTCATAAAAATAAAGTCTACTAAAAAATCAAAGTCAAATAAAAGGTGGATATATTCTGTTCTGTCCGAAATGGCTCATATATTGAATGATAATTCATTTTATTTTCAAAGTTAATTAATTATTTGGATTTGAATTAATCATCGATTTGTGCAATCGTGCTCTTCAAAGACGCAATTATGTTAGCTCAAATATAAGTTTGATTGATTAATATAAACTTGCATATGGTATTTAAGAAATGAATCAATTATAATATGTAAAGCATTATGATAAAAATCGTAATATGTATCTAACGAACATCTTTTATTGTTGAAACAAAAGTTAGTATTGTTTGTTGAAAGGATGAAACACAATGTGAATCTTGACTTCAAATAGTAAATAATTGAATACATAATCTTAAAATAAGATGATATAGTGTAGCATACAAGAGAAAATCTGTAATCGTCTAATCTCTTTTTCATCAAATCTACTGAAACATAGATAATCGATCACTCTGATTGCGGATATCAATACGAAATCAGTAGCTAGAACTTCAGAGAACGAGTTTTTCCTAATGAAAAACTATTTTGATTCATCCAGTTTATAGAGTACGTCAAGTTGATCATAAGACACTATTTTTTCCGTTGTTGATTCACTTTAGGAAAGTCTAGAGGCAAAAGAATTTTTTAACATTTGAACAATACTACTACTTGTTTAATGCTATGCTTTTACAATGAAGCATATTTGAGTAAATGACTATTGTTCATTGCAGAAATATAGTCACGTGCACTATTCACGAGCAAGTAGCTTGCTTTCATAATGCACCAAGTACAAATTATATCTATTATTCATCATTTGATACAAGAAGTTTGCAATCTTTTAGAATAGGATATGCGTGTATCGTTTGACCACGCACATCTACCTTAAATGCGAGCGATAGTAATTCTTTAAAGATATTTCTTTGAGGAAGCGAGAAAGAAAAACAAGGATATTTTTTTCTGTGTAAAAAATAGAATTATGTTTCTCTAGGTCTCAGTTACGGTAACCAAACGAAAAAAATAATGTTTTATGGTCAACTCGACATGCTCCACAATTTGGACAAATCAAAAAAAATTTTCTCTAAGAAAACTTTATCCGAAAATGGATCTCTAGAGTTCTAACTTTCAGTCTCATATTGATATTCAAAATTAGCATGGTCGATTATCTATGATCCATTAGATTTGATGAAAAAAAAAACCCATTAAACAGTTAGTGGCTCTCCCTCGTTTATTATTTTGTATTCAGTCTTGTTTTGATTAACATGGAAAATAAGGATTCTATTTTTCTTTGCATATCTGTACGAAAATCATAATATTTTTTAAAATAAATCTTTGACATAATTAAAATGATTTGATAAATTCAATCAGCATATTTGATATTAATGAACAATCAGTTGCAAATTTTGACGAGAAAAAAAATTGTCAATGAAATGTACAAAATAAATCGAAAAGTATATCAGATAAAATCTTTCATTTATGATGCTATTTATTTCAATGTATCAGATAAAATACTGTTGAAAAGTATTCTCTCATTTATGGCAATATATAAGATCTGGCTCAATAAACAAATAACTTTTGTTAAGTGATCATACAAGTGACTTCATTTCAATTTGATCTGTTTTTCATGCTTTGTACGATCTTTTTCTTGTTCCTTTACATGACTTTGTCCTGAATTTTTTATTTCTATTTCAACATAATATTATTGATGCCTTTAAGGAAGATTTATAATCGACTAATATATTCTCAAATAGTATTTGTAATATTACACCAAACATATTTCAAAAATCTCGTCCAAACTATTAGTAAATATTGTTTGAAATAATTTTTTTAGTAAAACCATTACTTTTTTTTCCTTCTTTTTCTTTCATTTAGATCTTAAAAATTTGACATAATTACCTATTTACGTTATTGAATGATTCAAATTAATATAATGTAACTTCCTTTCTTTTTTATACATGTTCTTTGCTGTTTATATGCTGTTGGTGAGATGACGTAGAAAAAATTCTCCATTCAGGTTTTTTTTATGTTTTTTTCATCCAGTACAACCGTCATCAAAGTCAGGCCGAATATATGTTTGCATTATCAAGGTGAAGAGAAAAAAGAAAAGTGCTTCAATTTTCGTTTTTTTTACTTTTAGTTTACGCAAACAAAAATGAAAGAGAATACGCAAACTATCAAATGTGTTATAGTTGGTGATGGTACTGTTGGTAAGATGAAAAAAACAATCGTTTTTTTTTTATTTTTTTTTTGTTTTCATTTAATTAAATAGGAAAAACATGTATGTTAATTGTTTATGCAACCAATAAATTTCCTACTCAGTATGTCCCAACAGTAAGTTTGATGTATTATAGTGATGTCTTGTATATTTATTATGAACATTTATTTAGGTATTTGATAATTATGCTGTGACAATAACTATTGATGGTAAACCATATACATTAGGTTTATTTGATACAGCTGGTAAATTTTTATGATTATTTTTTATGATTCATATGCATATTCATTAATTATTTAGGTCAAGAAGAATTTGATCGTCTTCGTCCATTAAGTTATCAAATGACCGATGTATTTCTGGTATGTTTTAGTATTGCATCACCATCATCATTCGCAAACATTCGAGAAAAAGTAAGTATAAATGCTTTTCTATTATATAAGAAATTATTTTTCTATTTCATTATCATATATAGTGGGCACCTGAAATATCACATCATTGTCCGAAAGTTCCATTTTTACTTGTTGGTACACAAATTGATCTTCGAAATGATCAAAGTACATTAGAAAAATTACAAAGATCAAATGAAAAACCAATAACACGTAGACAAGGTGAAAAATTAGCACATGATATTAAAGCTTCGCAATATGTTGAATGTAGTGCCCGAACACAAGTAAATTTTATTTTTTGTCAGTCAAATTAATACATTTTTTTGCTTTATTATCAATTTAACAGGAAGGTTTAAAACAAGTCTTTGATGAAGCAATTATGGTTGCACTCAAGCAAAAAGCACGACGTTCTAATCCTGATAAACGTTCTTGCAAACTTTTATAATAATTTCAAGAAATAAACATGTTCTTTTTTTTTCTATTTGTCTGTTTATATTGACTTGAAAAAAAACAAGACTTTTAAGGCAATAAATCCTGTTTTTGTCAAATTCGATGGTAGCGCTCTATGCAATAGAGGTCTCTTTCTAATAAAATTCTTTTCTCTAATTCGTACTTCGTTGACATCCATTGATTTCATTTGTTTATTTGTTTATTCAGCAGATCAAACTTCATCCCGTCATCATTAAAAAATTCAGATATATATATATATACACCTACTTGAGAAAAAAAAACAAAAGATTATCAACAATGCAAACAATTAAATGTGTTGTTGTTGGAGATGGTGCTGTTGGTAACAAAAAATAAAAATTTTCTTAATCATTTTTCTTATAATTTTATTTCATTAGGAAAAACATGTTTATTAATTAGTTATACAACAAATAAATTCCCAAGTGAATATGTTCCAACTGTAAGAATTATCTGTGTTTTTCTTTTGTTTTATTAAAGTTTTGAATATATTATGTTAAGGTATTCGATAATTATGCAGTAACAGTTATGATTGGTGGTGAACCTTATACATTAGGTTTATTTGATACAGCTGGTAAGAATATAAAATAAAGAAAAGAATATTAACTAATCATTTTTTATTTAAAACTAGGTCAAGAAGATTATGATCGTCTTCGTCCATTGAGTTATCCTCAAACAGATGTTTTTCTTGTATGTTTTAGTGTTGTATCACCATCATCATTTGAAAATGTTCGTGAAAAAGTAAGATAGAAAAGAAACATTAAAAAAAAACAAACAATTAATAATTTATTTGATTAATTCAATAGTGGGTACCAGAAATATCACATCATTGTGCTAAAACACCATTTTTACTTGTTGGTACTCAAATTGATCTACGAGAAGATCCAAATACAATAGAAAAATTACAAAAATCACGTCAAAAAGCAATATCATTTGAACAAGGAGAAAAATCAGCACGAGAATTAAAAGCTGTTAAATATGTTGAATGTAGTGCATTAACACAGGTATGACAAGAAAAAGAATATTTTCTTCTTTAAATAATGATCTAATAAACTTTTTATTTTTATTTTTTTGTTTATAGAAAGGTTTAAAAAATGTCTTTGATGAAGCTATTTTAGCTGCACTTGAACCACCGAAAAAAGTTAAAAAGTCAGCTTGTAAACTCTTATAAAATAGAAATGAATTCATTGTGGTAAACCAAAGAGCGAGAGAGCACTTCTTCTTTTTTTTTTCTTGTCATTCTAAACTTGATTAACTATGGTCTTTTTCTTTGTGCTATCTATTAGTTATATGTTTTTTTTTTTCTTTTTTTTTGTCCAAGTATTATGTATGTTGTATTGAAAAAAAACCTATCGTTTTCTTTTCATTGAAACGTCGATAAAATCCTATAGATTTCTTTTTTTCTTTGTCTTTATTGTAACATATAATCTCATATATTATTATTATGTATTTCCCATTATATTTGTTCTTTTTTTTTTATAATCTGTATAACAATATATATGTATGTAACTCTCTCGTTCATGTGTTTTTTTTTTCAACTTTAATAATATAAAGATTACAAGAAGAAAAAGAAAGAAAAATGTTCATTATTGAAGAAAAAATTGATATATTAACCAGTATGCGGTGGTTTAACGATGACGTTATTATCATCGACGAATAAACGAACACGATTGGAACGAAAATCACGGGTACATGGTGCTCCATCAGGTTTTATTTCTGGTTGATAACCTAAATAAGAGAATAGAATATTTAGAAATTCAATTATAAGTATTAAAAAAATACCTTGAGCTGTTAATTGACTTTCAACTTCGTTGGCATTTTTACCAACAAATTCAGGCCATGATTTTGCTTCTTCAAACATGATGATATTCTATATTAGAAATAAGAAGGATTAGATAGACATATTTATTCCAACGATCGTCTTACATACTTATTTTTTGTTGTTCTCTTCTTGATCAGTTGCAAACAGTATATATGTGAGTGACACTGATATTCTATGTGTATTTATATATCTACCTCACTTGGATTAATATAGAGGGGGTTTTATTTGAGTGTAGGCGTACTTTATTTTTTTTTGCAATCAAAGCTTGTGTAAATCGCTATCTAAGTAAAGAATAAGTGAGTATCACAGGTGAAACAATCATTTTTATGAATAATATTCACATATATTGTGAATCATGAAAGTATTTTTATCATATAGTTGAGCACACAATATGAAATAACTATTTTTGTATTTGATAATAATAGTTAAGTCAAAGAGTATGAATAATTTTCTTTTCTTTTTATTCGAATAATTTGAGTTCGATTGTTATTAACAGAACTTTTCTAATAGTATAATACTCTTATCAAACACTTCAATTTTCTTCGGATAAATTTAAGATTACCAATGCACACTATTGATTTTCAATCTTTTTGCTTTTTTTTATCATCACTATAGAATCTTTCTAATGACTGTATTCTATTGAAATTTAGTTATATTTGCACGATTCCAGAGTCTTATATTGTTTTCAGTGTTCATTCATCTCAATTGCATTGTTATAAACCGATGTGTCACAAACTCAATGTTTCAGACTTAACATATAAACTTTTTTTAAAATAAGACTTTAATACAAGTCTTCCTCATTTTATAATTTATGCCATATAGATAAAAACAGATCCAAAACACCATGCTAATTCAGCTGATAGTTAAAGAATGCGATAGAGCAATGTTTGATCATGATTTAATGATCAATGAATGAAAAACGTTGGAGATATTATACTTTTTGTTATGATTTTTAAAGCTCGGAAGAAAAATTTTGAAAAGAAAAAATTGCGCATAGATAAAGTAACAAGAAATTCAAATCTGAAATAGTCAATATTATTAAAGAAAGAAAAACTCAATCATTGAAAAATATAGTTTCAAAGAATGAAAATATCGAAGGCTAAAGCTTCCATAGTTGCTAGTATAATATATTATTGTGGTAATCAGATATTATGTCAATGTACTCTAAATTTTATTGAAGAGATCTATAACTTCAGCATAACGTTTTAGTGGAGTTGTATGGATAATAATGATAATAATAATACAGTATGTGTTCGCTCTCAATACAAAAAAAGGCCTTTCATAACCAAGGTCATCGAGATTTATCTTCTTCTACTTAAGTGCAGATTCATGTAATTGAACTCACTGTTGAAGGACACAACGTATCTTCTTCTTTGACATTCAGCGCTTCATTTTCGTGATGAATTTATTTAATTGATAGAAATAGCTAACAATCAAAAGAGAACATTGTTTTTTATTACTTATAAGAAATGACATTCTAGATATTTCATTGTAATGATATAATAAAATAGGAGAATACTTAGAACGCAAACTATCATTATACTTAGGTCTAACTAAAAGTTCTAACAACATTGCCGATAATTTTATTATATTATGAATTTATTGCTAATATTCTGTCAGATAGAAGTCAATGTCAACAAAAAAATGGATAATGAATTCAATCGATACTATATCAAGATCCGGACTATTTTAGGAATAGATGTAAAGATTATTTACCTGTAAGTTACGACAGCATTGGTATCTAATACTCTTTAATATTTAACAGTTACAATACAGCCGATGTTTTCGTGAAGAAAGAGATTATGTCAGTTATGAGTATCGTTCTAGTTCTTTAGTGTCCGCTTGACAGATATAAGTATTGAACTAGTACGACAAGTCATTGACAATAATCCTCATGCAACTTTGATGATATTATAGCTAATAGGCGTGTTACATGAAAAAACTAACTCGATAAGAGTGCATCTGATTCTGATGCCATCTGGAACTTAAGGGTTTTAAACCATGCTCTTTCTTTTGTCTAGCGGACACTTTTGTCCAAAATACTCGGAAATAGGTTTTCTATAAAACCGTGGTTTTAGGACCAATGGTCGCGAAAGGTTTTTTGTTTTGACAACCTATAAGGATAGAGCAAACAATTCTCTACAAAATGAGATGTCTCCGAACTCTCTACACCGTTTTTTGGCCGAGTTACATCAATTTTAGTGAAGGACAAAAGCCATTTTTTTCTGCTATTTCCTCTGGGAAAAACGAAAAAATGGCTTTTGTCCTTCACTAAAATTGATATAACTCAGCCAAAAAACGGCGTAGAGAGTTCGAAGACATCTCATTTTGTAGAGAATCGTTTGCTCTATCCTTATAGGTTGTCAAAACAAAAAACCTTTCGCGACCATTGGTCCTAAAACTACGGTTTTCTAGAAAACCTGTTTCCGAGTATTTTGGACAAAAGTGTGCGCTAGACAAAAGAAAGAGCATGGTCTAAAACCCTTAAGTTCCAGATAGCGTTAAGTTTAGTCAAAGCTGCGAAAAGTTAGCCTAGACCAACTTTCTCATGTAACACGCCTATTGTCGTGAAAGTTTAGTGAAATTCCCTAATGACTCATAGTGATTATATAATAATACCACTAGTGAAGAGACATCCCATGTCGTCAATTTTTCATCAAAGCTGATGTTTTGAATGGTTTATTGCTTTTTTACCAGTTTTTTTCCTAGTTTCTCTATTAAACTACTATTTTTAATCTTGGGAAGATCGATTTCGACTTAAAAAAAAAGAGTAATTCTACACGATGCATACACGCTCTTACTTGCACTCTAGGTTGTGTGTTAAGGGATATGTGTATCGTGTAGACGAACCTAAAAAAGAGTCAATTTTAATATGCCACAGTAATATTGAGTCCGATGGCGTTACACATTTCTTATCTGTTAAGTGTTATAGTTAATGACTATTGCTGTGATGCTATCTTTAATAAATGATTAAAGTAGAAAACAAAGCGAATCAACTGATTCGACTGGAATAGACGACATGAGTGCGCTTACAGTAATGACGGAAGATAATTTTGACTGACATCTAACATTTATCAAAGAATCTAAAAATATTCATGCACTAAAATACAAAAAAAAACTGCATTGAGCAGAAGAACTGTGGCTTGCGAGTGGTTGCAATAACATGGATTGCATTTATCATTAACATATTCAATGTAGATCAACTAGTGCAAGCTACATGAGCGAACTTGAATCATCAACAACTATTGTTTGTCAGAGTAGATTTGAACCGATAACTTCGTTTTCTATATTCTTAAAACCAAATGATGCTATTCTTACGCATCGTGTAAATAAAGGAAATACAATAGATCAATGGCGGCATCAGTATTTTGAACAAGGGAGGCTCAACCCTTTCCTATATTTTCCTCATCGCTATAGGCCACAGTTATTATACTGAAAATTGTCTGAAATCTGTTGTCAATAAAATATGGAAACAAAGAAAACCATCACGTACACACAATATAAAATGACTTCAAAACAATATTCGAACTCATATTCATTTATATGTTGATAATTATTTAACAAAAGAAAGTATCAATACAATGTCGCGCATCTACTCTTTGCACTGGATCTTTCATTGTGTGATGCTTGACTAAATGATCATATGAAATGTAATTGAACTGATTGTGCAAATGAAAACTAATTGGCTCGTACGATTTCCAAGATAATTTTAAAAAATACTTCAGAAGAACAATTTAAAGAAGCATTTGACAAATTACTAGACAGGTTCAAACTTAGTATAACTAATTATGGCGATAGATTTTAATATTTTATAAAATAAAAACTGAAAATATCTCTTTATTTTTCTATTTTTATTTCATGTTGTCAGAAGTTTTGATCAACCTTAAATGTTTCTTAATAGGAGACGAAGATATGAAAATAGATTATAGAATATTTATCATGTACAACAAAAAAGAAAAATGGAAAAGATATCAATCTTGTCAAAACAGAATGCAAAAGCAAAGGAAAGAATAATTCGTCTTGGATAAGAATGTTTATAGGTGACAGAACAAGTAATCATAGCACGATAGATCATGTTTCAAGTTTTATTTTTGTAAGATTTTCTTATTTCTTAGAATAAATACATTAGGTCTACAATATTCTAAGAATTTTGAAAATGTTTAATAATTTATATCGAAAAAGACAATATTTATTTGATGACTTTCAATTGTCGACCAACTTGAGCAAATGCATCAATACATCGTTTAAGATCAGCTTTTGAATGAGCAGCTGACACTTGTACACGAATACGAGCACGATCTTTTGGTACCTAGAAAGAAAACAAAAAGAAATTTATATGAGCATTTTTTGTCGTGGAATTACTTACCACAGGATAACTAAAGCCAATAACATAAATTCCTCGTTTAAGCATTTCATCAGCAAATTGACTTGCTAATCGAGCATCACCAAGCATTACTGGACAGATTGGATGATTATCGCCTAAAATCTACACATAAAAAAAAAACAAATAAATTTTGTCAAAGAAAACAAATACATTAATACTTTAAAACCCAATGCTTGCATTTCTGTACGAAAATATTTGGCATTTTCAAGTACTCGACCAGGTAAACTAGAATCATTTTCAATTAAATCAATAGCTTTCATAGCACTTGCTACAATAGGACTAGAAACAGAAAAAAGCTAATTTTTAATAATCAAATCTTTTTGTAATATACAAACGGAGGAAGTGTATTTGAAAAAAGATATGGTCTTGAACGTTGTCTTAAAAGATCAATAAGTGCTTTTGGTCCAGTTGTATATCCTCCAGCTGCTCCACCAAGTGCTTTTCCTAATGTTGAATTAATAATATCAATAGTTCCAATCATTCCAAAATGTTCTTCTGTACCACGACCTGTTGGTCCAAAAAATCTTTTCAATCAAACAAATTTGTTTTACAAATTCATAAAGACATTGTAAAATTTTTTACCCAGTTGCATGACATTCATCAACAAAAATTAATGCTTTATATTTATCTGCTAAACGTCGAATATCAGGTAATGGTGCAATTGTTCCATCCATTGAAAAAACTCCATCAGTAGCAATTAATCGAATTATATTTTCATTTTTGTCATTAAAACTTTCTTTTAATTTTAATTCAAGATCAGACATATCTTTATGTTTATATCGTAAACGTTTAGCTCTAGATAAACGAATACCATCAATAATTGATGCATGATTTAATTCATCCTATATTAGATAAAGCATGTTAAGTTGTTCTATTTCTCTCATAGTTTTTAGGAGTTTAAGGGACTAAAAGTTCTTGTATAATGTACTTTCATTCTTGGTATACTAAATTGCTTATATTGTTTTTTTTATCCCACCAGGATTATTTTAGCAACATTATTATTTATATATATTCCTTTTCATCCATTAGATAAAACATCGATTTTTTTTCGATTATGTCATCAGATGCCTAGGGCTTAACCTCAGAAAGTACTTGTCTTTTTATTTTGTGTATGCTGAAAGAATGAGCCAGTAACATGTATGATTACTTGAGAAATATACATGTGTATTGTGACCTTTCGCGTGACTATAAGAAAACTTTGTGGATTTTTTTTTTGTAATCTTTTTTAACATGAAGAATTACGAAATGAAACGAATGCATCGAGTAACGAAAACTTTTCAAAGAAAACCTGAGAACACAAAGAAGAAAAGACTCGTCAAATTCCTTTTTTTTTTGTCTCTCTCTCGTGATTCTTAATATCAACAAAAGAAAAAAAGAGAGAGAAATAAAAAAAAACATGGTAAGAAAAAGAAAAAAGTTTCTGCTAGAATCACACAGCATATATTTGCAGGTTTCTTAACTAATTTGTAACTCTCAGTGTTCATTGAATAACATAACATGCACATGATGACATCAAACAGTGAGAAATTCAAAGACGTAGAAAAACATGATATTTGATTTTTTTTTTGCACAACTAGATAGTTGAAAACAAAATTCAATTACTTACACTAATAATATAATCTTGTTCTTTCAGTAATGTTTCAAAAATTCCTGCATTAGCATCAAAACACGATATATAAAGAATAGCATCTTCTCGTTGATGAAATTTTGCAATACGTTGTTCAACTAAATATTCGAACATAGAGATTTTTTTTGTTGTGTTATCTTATATATTTTTATTTACGTTGTTTATGTATTGTTTGTGTACCACAAATAAATCGTACTGAACTTAGACCAGCTCCATATTCATCAAGAGCATTTTTAGCAGCTTTTATAATTTCACTATTATTTGCTAAACCCAAATAATTATTTGCACAAAAATTTAAAAGATCATTTGTTGAACGTTCAACTTTAATATGTGCACTTTGACTTGTCGAAATAATTCGTTCTGCTTTCCATGTACCTGCCTGTCGAATAGAATCAAGTTCAGGATTTAAACGTTTATCAATAACTTGATTTAAAGTCGATGAACGACGAATAGATGATTGTTGTAATGGTCGTAACCAAAAACGTATTATGGACATATTCTTTTTTCTTTTACTTTTACACTAAATATACAAGCAACTGACTATTCGAAAAGTAAAAGAATGTTTATTTAACCGAGCTCATATTTATTTAAGATGAAAGAAAAACAGAATATATATATAAAGCATTTTCATTTGTCAGTTACATTTATTAAGCGCACAAAACGTAAAGCAATCGAGGCCATTTACACGTTTCACACATCCACTGTCTCTGCCTCCAATCAATCGTTTGATCATCTTATAGTCAGCCGCATTGGTTGATATACAATCACGTTGAACGCCAATACCACTTCCTATATAAAATAATAAAAATTTTTTGTTTTTGAAATTAAATTTTAATTAACCTGTACGATCAAACCATGAAAAGCAAAGGTCATTATCATTTTCACAATGACGAGTTGCAATATTTTCTGATGATAAACAATCAAGATTATCTTTTTGACATGTTTTACATTCAAGAGCACAGCCTAAAAAAAAATAATTTCAATATTAAATTCTATAAAAGATTATAACTTACTCATATGTAATAGATAAGTAAGAAAAAGTACTTGGAGAACAAAATATGCTTTAGATGAAGTCATCTGCATTGAATGTTATTTTGAAATGTTCTATTTTATAGTAATAGATGTTTGTATATATATGCGTGACTTTCTGTAATCAATGGAGTATTTTTAATTCCGTTCCATAATGTCACAAAAGAAAAAAAAATGGTTTCTGTATATGTCAAACTAACGAAAGAAAGAAAAAATAATAAACCTTACTATCTGTATGATAGATGGAAAAAGAGAGAAAAACCTTATGACTGATTTTATATTGTTTATATGATGTTCATCAACCAGCATTAATCCATTACTAGTTTCAGATAAAAGAGTACAGTTATTTTAATCATCTTAAAAATTCTTTGAATTTGTTTTATTTCGATCGAAACTATTCTAATTAACAAATATAGAAATATTAGTTAATCTGTCTTTTGGTATACACCAAATGACCTTACGTTGATTTTTTTCTGTGGGATTGGTATTGAAAAGTATATTCAATAAAAAGCAAAAAAAAGCGAATTTTCATGTTTTCAGAAAATATTCATAGGTTTCCAGATTCTCTTACTTAGAAGAAACTACTGGAATTTCTCTTTTTAGTATTTATTTAATCTAACAGATTTATATATGAATAGCATATACGCCATTTTAATTGTGCCAAAAGCGAACTATAGTCCATATGGATCAGTCCTCAATCCCAATATCGTGCTCGTTCTCCTCCTTCTCAGCCTAATTCATTCCGTTTGATACCACATTTATATAAAAAAAAATTACAGAAAAATCCCAAAAGATCTCAAATAAATAAACTCTGAAAGCTACTGTTCATTAGAAAACTATCAAAACTGAACGGCTTCATCAACGTATGAATATAAAAGTAATTTGACTTCAATCTACTTCGTGAAATACTAGACGTGTTCGATCGAGAATACCGACATTTACATTTAGTGTTGTAATTACATAGAAAGCTTTTAATTTGTAGGAACATTGAACACAACTCCCAAGAGTAACGGTGACCATAAAATCATCAACACGAAAGAGGAAAAAAACAAAACAGGTATCAATGAATTATTTTCTATGAATTTTTCAATAGGTCATCAATAATTTGTTCATTAAATTTACTCTAGAAAATTACTGTTACGTTTTCTTTTATCATACAAATATATCTACATGCCTCGATTAGTCTTGTTGATATTGGTTTATCAGACGTCTTTTCTTCTTCTTCCTCTTCGATATCACTGTCAAAAACATATTTATATAATTCGTCATTAGACAGAATCTGTTCTTTTTTGCATTCATACATTTTTTACACAAAACACACAAACAAGCATATACATGCATGAAATCTATACAAAAATCTGTTCTGTTTTATTTGTTTATCGCACACAGGCCAAAAAAAGATTTTTCCGAATGAGAAAAATGAGAACAAAAATATATATATATAGCAATGAAACAAAAACAACAAAAAAAAACGAAGAAAAAAAGAAGATAATTCCATATTATGGTTACACTTCTCTAAATAAACAAAAAAAAAACAAGAAAGTTCAAACATATAATTTGATACAAAAATAAAAAGAAACTTACGTTGCATCGAGTGTGGTATTTAATAATAGATGACTTCGAATATCAAGTAATTTTCTTGCTGTCAATGGGTCTTTTGCATATCCAACATATTTCGATGGTGCACTATCATCTAATGTTGTTGTTGTTGTTGTTTTAGTTGGTTTCATAAAAGATACATTGTTCGGTCGATGATTTGATGATGGTTGACGAGAATTAGTCGACAATATTATATTATTATCTGACGATGGATTATTATTAATAATTGTTGATAGAATAGTATTTTCATCACCATCTATATCATCATCATTATCATCAGATAGTTCAAAGTGTGCTTCGGTTTGATCTTTATCATCACCATCTTCGTCATCATCCTCATCCTCATCCTCATCATTATCATCATTGTTATTAATTATTGAATGAATATTTGAATTGTTATTAAGAACAATTTCATTTTGATCACCCAATAATAGATCATCTGTACGTGTTAATTCATCAAAACGATTTAAATTATTCACCGGTATTTTAAACAATCGTTTTGATGATGATGTTGATGATAAATATTTTGATAAATTCGAATAATCTGTATTAGATTGATTATTATCATAATCACTTTCATTTCCACTTCCACCAAATGATGATACTATCAAATTATTATCATCCGATGGTATGATAGCTCGTCGCGTTCGTGTAGATGTCGGTGAATTTTGAACTGTCGATGAATCATAAACAACAGTATGTGTGGAAGAACGTAGATCATTTTCATCAAAAACCCTATGTCGACGAAAAAGATTTTGTTGTTGTTGTTGTTGTTGTTGTTGTCCGAGACCAGAACGATGATGAATATGACTTTGATTACGTTTTTTAACACTTGCATATGGTGTTCGACGTAATGATGATTCTGGTGATGGCATATGAGTATTGTTAGATGGAACGGTTTCTAAAAATAACAATAGAAGCATTCAATATAAATCGATTCGTTTCAAATCTTTGACAAACCAATTGGAGCTTGATTATTTGATGGTGTTATTATATTTGCATTTGATGTTGATAGTCTACTGACTAGATGTTGACTATTTATATTATCGTTCATATCATTACTATATAAATCATTTGAATTTACAATTGAAGATGCATTTTGTTCTTGTGATAATATCGAATTAGTTAAATGTTCATGATCATCTGTACCAATAACAGTTGATGATGAACTTTTGCCATCAAATTCATCAAATTCATCAGTTAAATCATCATTTTTATTTTTAATTGATGATGTCTGAACTGGCATTGATGATGTTGCTGTTGTTATTGATGATTCTTCATCAGCACTAAATAAAAATGAGCCAGTTGAACTAACACCACTTGAACTATGTACACTACGAAATGAATTTGTATTGCTTAATTCATTATTTGGTATTGTTGTTGAATTATTTGTATTTATAGGTTCATTATTCCATGACATACGTTTAATAATAGCTGTTGATGGTGTTGATTTAATTGACGATGGATTAATTAATGATGATGATGATGTTGGATTGGATCCATGCGTACCTGTACCATCCGCTGTAAAATATCGGCCATAATTTTTATGATCAGTACGAGAATTTCGTCGAGCTTGTTCAACTATTTTAAATACATCAGATTCAACTTTAGATAAACGTCGAATAGATTCAGTCGAAATCTGAACAATAGGTTCATCTATTGAAGAACTATCAATAGATGTACCATCAGTTTTAAGTGCAGGTAAATCAAGTGATATTTCAGATGTTGATGATAGACTAGGTAACGATTGATGTATAGTAGACGATGTTGTATTTGAATTTGTTGTTGTCATTGCCGTTGTTGTTGATGTTGATGTAGTTGAATAATTATGTGCATTTTGTAATTTCATTTTTGATTCTTCCATTAATAATTGAAAATTTGTTTTTGCTGTTCGAATATTTTCAATCCATTGTTTACTTAAATTTGTTTGAAATAAGTAACCATATTCAATCAAATTATATTCAGAAAAGGCCAATGCTATAAATGATGCCTAAAAAAATAAAAATTTTTGTTTAAATTTTTGTTGCATTTTATGACTTACAGTATTTGGTTCATTATTACTACTACTTCCACCACCGCGGCGATCATATTCTCGAACATCCATTCGATCAATACGTATTGGTGGTTTAAGAATTTTATTTAATGTTGTTGGTGTACCACGATTAAATTGTCCATCATTACTGATGGATGTCAATGATGATGAATTTGATGATGATGCATTTGTTGTACCACTTCTTTTACCACCTTTGGTTATAAGAAACATATCAGTAAATAAATAACAATAAACATCTTGACTATTTTTTGCATCTTTCATTTTCATTGGACCTTGTTGAATAATCTGACGACGATAGCCTCGTACATATAATGGCATATCACGAAGAAGATCCAATCGATGAGAATATGAATCACGATAATATTCTTGAAGTATCTAATAGAAAGAAAGTCATATAGTACTAGAAAGAGATAAAAAAATTATGATAAGAAGATACGTACGGAAGTAATTTCAGGTGGTGCTGAAACATATTCAAATGCACCAATACGATCACTTATCTGACGAACACGTTCTTCTTGTTCTTGGCTATGCAATTTTGAATTGACTCGATTGACAAAAGTGGCTACTTTTTGGATCTAGGTAAATATGTTTTTTGTAAGATCTTTATTCAGGATATCATACAAGAATGAGAATAACAATTGAAGCCTTATTATCTACAGATATTTATTTCCGACAATAAATGCATTAGATTTTCTCATTACTTCTAAGTATTCTCTAGCAAAACAATATTCGCTTGTTATTGGCAGATCCAGGATTTTTATGATTCGGATTGATTCAGTGAAGATAGAGGGATGGTCGGTCATAAAACGCTTTTTGACGCTCATCAGAAGCAGTATCATCTCATTTTTAAGTCTTTTCTATTAGGAAAAACTCAAAAAAATCTTTTAGAACGAGGGCGATCGCATCCTGTCTAAATCCGTCAATGTCATTTATCCTTTTTGTTTCTCCTGATCATCTAATAGAAACTTTTACATAACTTCAAATTTTCTTATTTACCATTTCATGTAGATCATTTCGTTGTTGATTATCTTGTGTTCTTTTTTGTATAGCTTCAAGCAATAATTTATATTGTGTAAGTCGTTGTAATGGTTTGATAGTTAGATCGGGAAATGATAAACGATTAGTAAAATTAGCTTCAATCCACTAGATAAACAAGAAAAAACAAAATATGCCTATACATACATCATTGCCAGTTTCTTACAGTAATTAAATATTGAAATAGATCATCTTTGGCAAGTTTTTGTTTGAAATATTCTGCACTTGCTTTTTGATCAAGTACATAGTGAAGATATGATTTAAAATAAATATCAAACTAAAAACAAATAACAAATGTATTCATATGTATATCTATTCATTTTTGTATTTTGTCTCTTAAGAAACATCTGCGTAGGTTAATACTTGTAGACTAAATAACAGCAGTACAGTTATAAAATATGACATTCTGCTGTCTAGCTACTGTTTTTCTCCTTTTTTTTTTAATTTTCTCTTGATTGACATTTTTGCATGTTAACGAAGAAGAAAAAAAAGAAATAGGATGTAACCCTGGATATTTACTTTAAGAAAACCATTTTTAAGATCTGATGGATTCATTGCACAGCCGGTTTGTTCAAGTTTTATTTTAATTGGTAATAATATATCTTTCCAAAATGATAAATTTGCATTAAGTACATCTTGTATATTTGAAAACAATTTATCCATATCAATATCATTTAAAAGACCGTCACGTTGAGATGATTTTAATATCATAACACTTGTCATAAATATATCAGTCATTGTTAAAATCTGACGTATATAGGATACTTCAGTTGAAAGCATTTCATAGATAGCTTCTTGTTGTAATTTGATCGATTCTGACATAAGCTAAGGAAGAAAAAAATCTGGGCGATGACATATGTATATATGTTAGAAAAAAAGAAAGAAAAAAAAATGATGAGATAAGACAAGTTTTCGTCACTTCCGTATTGTGAGGGGGTCATCCGTATACAAAGATAAATAGAGTGTAGATAGATATTCAATAGAGCAGATGACAAGAGTTCAGGGACTGACTTACTGATCTTGCTTGTTCGCTTAAAAATGGTTGCCATTCTTTCTCTATTTTTAAATCACGTTCATCAATTTGAATTTGATGGTTTTGTAATAGAGCTAATTTTGGTAAACCATGTATTAACCAATCGTCACATTTACGACGAACAAATGCTAAATTACTTTCTGGTCGTTCATTAGAATCACTACCATCCTAGAGAAAATAAAACAAAAGAAAAAGATAATATAATTTTGATTTGATTGAAAAGCAAAATGAAAAAAAGAATTCGTGCAAAATAAACATTTCAATACCGAATTAGTCGATCCATTTCCTCCTCCTCCTTCACCTCCTGTAAATCCTGTTCCACGATTTATTCCTGAAGAAGATCTTGATAAACTATCATTTTGAGATGATATTGAATTTATTGTATTTTGTCTTAAGAGACGACTCGCTGCACGTTGCCAACGACGTGCAGTTTCTTTATGGGCTGTTTGATTTTGATGATTGGCAGATGATGCTTCTAGTGCACGCCATAAGGTAGCTGTATCATAAGTTGTGATCGAATTTGCTTTCAATAAACGCCGATTCATTATTGACACGACCCGTACTGTGCGACAATTGTGTTGACTCGTAATGATATCGTCAAATAACAAAGGATAGAAGGAGAATAGAAAGAAGAAAAGGGAATAAAAGAGAGAGGGCAAGAAAAGGAAATGGTTAATAGAACGACGTGGAAATCCGTCTTGTGTATTTCTGTACTACACTCCCTCTCCTCTCTCTCTATATATTTCTAGTTGTTTTCTTGGTTTCCCTTATGAGAAGAAAATATCGAACATTCTACTTTTTGCTGTTCTGATTATGAGATAGATGTCGATAGGACTATTAATTTTTGTTTTTGCAAAAATAGCCATAATACGTCGAATATTTATTGAAGATGGGGTGAAGTAGTACCACATATTTATCGAGAAAGAACAACTGAGCTAGTAATTTAATCTACAAGTTCATTTCCTCTTATATCCGTTATTCATATTACTTCACTTAAATGCACACAAATATACTTATCTATACAAGATAAACTAATATTTTCTTCATTTCTAATAGATACTAATCATACACAAAATAAGATTGATTGATAAAATGATCACTTACATTTATATAAAATATATTTTGTCTAGAATTTAAAGATCGCCAAAAAGATAAAATTGGAGATGTTGATGATTTTCTTATTTTATAAGAATTAGGTAAAGATTTATGATGACCTGTATCAATCATTGTACATGAAATTTTGTTTTTGTCTTCGTAGACTTAGCTCGATATAAATATAAAACAAAACTTTTCACTGAAAAGAATATACAACTTTCTTTGTTGTTTAATAGCAGATAAGAATTCCTTGTTGTCAGTTGTTTAATATTAAACAAATAGAGTTAAAAATGAAAAATGACTCATATTTCGGCTTTTTTTCTTCTTTTGGCTTTATATAAAAGATGCAATCAAAAAATAAACATGTGTAGATATATATGCTATTTTTGTTCCAACATTTAACGGTTCAATAATATAGATTAAAATGTCATGTTAAACTTGATGTGTAAGCATGCAAATCGATCCTACAGTTTTTTTAAAGTCTCATGAGACTATTACAATATACATAGTTTTTTTAATGCACGCAATCAATCGTTCGTTTACAAGGTTTGTTCTATTTTGAAATAAGTAGGAAATTATGTTTCTAATGAAATAGATTATAAAGAAAAAAATTCTTATTTTCTTTCCTCTATTTTCTACATAAATACAGTATGTCATATTAAGAAGCGGTCGAACTGACACATGCATATGTAGATGCATATACGTATACATTCTTACCCGAGTAAAGATGCTACCAGTAAAAAGACTGGAACGATTTGTTTTGCCTGATCTTGTATGTTGTTGTGAATTAGTTGATTTTAATTCTTGATTATAATTACTATTTGTTATATTGATTGGTATTACGTCATCATTATCTTGCACCATACATTGAGTTGATAATCGTTTCGATGTAGCTGGTGCTGATTTAGTGGTCTAAGGAAAAATATATAAAAAAAAACATAGACCAGAAATGTCTTTTTTTGATTTGCTAAGAAAACAAAAAACAAATCTCGATAGTAATAACATATGAAAATCATTAACGGTGCTGAGGTTCTTCTCTATAATCATGATGAATAATAAAACTAAGAAACTAGAAATAGATAATAAAACAATATATATATATGTATATATATCATTTAGATTAATGGCAAGATGAAAATCTAATCGATCTAATGAATGCATTAGATCAAAATCCAAAATATTAGTATTTAAATTTATTATTATTATTATTATGTCAAATTGTTTATATGTGGCAAATGAGACTAATTATCCAAGCTTATAGACAACAAAAAAATAGAATAGACAACAACTCAAGAACATTTATTGACAGTATGCAATCATAGAGCATCATTCTCTAACTAATGCACTTAATCATAAAACAAAAAAAAGACTCATATTTAATATGTATCTATTCATCGAAAAAATGGAGACTAGACACTTCTTTATCGTCTAGATATAATGATGAGAAGAAGATCGATGTTTTTTGTTTTGTAGTAGTATAGCCAACAAAAAAAAGGAAGCCTAACAATATGACACCAATCGTATACAATTAATAGGGTACTTTAGGATATTTTGTTTGTCGCGCTTTTTTTTCTCTTCTTGATTAGAACGGGGACAAACAGGTGTTTTGTCACCTGATTTGATTGTATTCTCATTATAAGAAACAAATAACAATTGTCAAGTGTTTATAGAAATGTCTATTACTTATGATTGACTAGATTTAATGTAAATGACATTGATGTTAATTTATTTTAACTTACTGTTGTTAAAACTGCTGAACCAGTAGAATTTCGTTTTTCATTTCGTTCTTTTCCAGCTGATGTTTTAGCAAGTGCTCGATTATTAATACGTGAGCATGATGGTAAGCCATGTTCTTTTTCTAAATAGACAATGAAAAAAAACCCATAAACATAATCGTAAATTTTTCTTTTTTTGTTTTGTCTTTAATGAATAGATGAAGGATGAAAGAAAGCAAAATAAAAGAAGAGACCATTGCACTTTGGCTTATAAGATATTGCAGCAGATGTAGCTGATGATGGTCCACTAGCACAGATTGTCTGTTCATCACCACTTGATGATAAGAAAGCCATATCATCACAGCTGACGCTTTTTTGCTTAAGCAAACAAGCAGCAACCACGGACCCAGTTATGTCTTTTGCATTTAAGATATTTGGATCATCAGACAAACCATTTTTTCTTGTTCGTTGTTGATGTTGAATAGATAAAACATGTAAATCTTCATTTGATGATGATCCAGGTGGAGAATCAACTTCAGTTAATGCACAATTCCAAACAAATGTAAATGTGGAGGATGCTGAATTTGTTGTTGTTGTTGATGATGATGTTGGTGATGGTGATGGAATATATGATAGATGATCATTACTATTTGAACAATATGATTTACGACGATATTTTAATACATCAGATAATTGTCGACATATAGATAAACGACGAAGAGGTGATACGAGAGGTGGTTGTGAACCAGCTGATGCTATGCCTTCATTGGACATCGTAATTCAAACGAATGAATAGATGTAACGATGAATATTCTCTGCCTCTTGTTCTTCTTTTTTTTTGATAGACAATTCATTCACAATAGAGTTAAAGACAAAGAATAAACGATGCAAGCTCTTATGCTTTTTCTCTTCGCTTAGTTTTTTTTGCAATAAATGAGTATGTACGCCGGAGGGTGACAATCACTAGTTGAAGAAGAGATTTTGCGCATACATACATATATATATTTGATAGAGAGAAAAAAAGAAATTATATAACATCAACAACCAGTAAATGTGACAATGACGACACCAAAATTATTGATAAGGACTAAATTTTTTTTGTACTTCACCAGATTTATTATATATATAACTAATAAATTAGCCCATACTCTCTGTTTTGGCTTTCCTTTTCTTATTTTTTTTTCTAATAAACATATTGATTAAATGTATAGAAATTTTTTAAGCTTTGACGAACGTCAGAAGCAGTGACGCATTAAGTTTTTTTTTTAAATTGCATCATACACATTGTATGTGTATGAGCATTTCGAGAGTATGCACCAAGTGATTTTCAAGAGAAAGAAAGAAACAAAAGAGGTTTTAGCGTTAATTAGGAAGAAAGGGGAAAAGAAACGAAAAAAAAAATTACATAATCAAACTATGAGAGTTTTTTGTGTACCTGTAACGACAAGATCATCTAACAGAAGATGTTTGACTGGTTGGTCCAAGGACAATGGTAAACTAGGTGCACTTCGTAAACAAATATTACATGTTTCTATAGTGAGATGATGTTTTTCGAATAATTTTAATAAGATCTCTCTAAATAAATATACCAGAGGAAAAAAAAAGTTTTTTTTTCGATTTTTCTTTTTTTTCTCTTTACCTTAATGTCGTATTCTCGGATGTGCTGGAATAGTTAAGTCGTTCTTTAAAATTTTGTCCATTAACATTAGTAAAATGGATGTAAGATCCATCCTAAAACGAGAAAATGTAATAAGACATCAAAAATGCCAATTAGTCTCAAGGTCAAATGTCTCTCACATATCGACTATATTCAATTTGCATTAATATTTCCCACTACATCAAGTAAAATCCTCTTTTCTTTCTATCAATTTTTTTGTCTACTCAAACAACACATACATATATCTATCATCTGTCCTTCCCGATAAGCATCTATTATCAAATAAATAACTCTCCGAATAAAAGTAAACCAAACTGAAGGTTTCATGTGCAAGAAAGAAATTTCTTATTCGACTTATCTGGTCTTTTCAAATAAAAAAATCCTTGATTTAATAATCTAACTTACTGTTGATGGTAAATTTTCTTCAGATAAAGCATGCTTTCGTTGATCAAGAAGATTTAAAAGTGTTGATTCATTATTTATTGGTGCATTATTACTAATTCGATTTGAACCAATCGATGTTGCTAAATTAATCACTGAAACACTAAATTGTTTACCAACCATGTTTGCCTATTTCAAAAGAAAAAAAAAAATCGAAAAAAATTTCTTTTTCAAAATAATAAAAACTGTAACAAAGAAAAAAAAACTATTGTACTTCATTTGATCCCAAAGCAACGTTTGATCGACGAGTTCGAAATACATTTACTAATAAATTTCGTGTCTTCTCTCTAGAACAGAAAAAAAAATATTTTTGTAAGAACGAGAAAAAAAAAATGAATTTCTCAAAAAGAAAAAGAAATTATTTCGTAAACCTTCTGATTTGTATATCGGTCACGAATGCATGACGATTATGTACGATAAACGTCGTTGAATCATGCATAGGATTTAATAAATAGATATTTATTCAATTAATATGATCAATGTCAATATTGAATTTTTATACCAGATTGAAAATCAGACACAACGGTAATTCATGCACATATATATATATATACAAATACATATACATATATATAGGTGCGTATGTATACTAGCTCTTTTCTTTTTTCTTCTCTGCAATGTTCTCAAAATACTTTTTCTTTTTTATCGTCAGCGTATGATTTGAGGTGTGAACAATCGTTATACAAATAGTACAGCTTATTTGCTTAGTGTCGATGTGGACGACAAAGTAAAGGAAGGAAAAAAACCTCGAGGAATGAAGGGAGAGATTAATTAAAATATGAATTCTCTGTATATCCGTTATCACAGTCATGTCAATGTCGATAAGTAAACAATTATATTTAATTCAATTTGATATAGATTTTATTTGAAACCAGAACAAAAACAAAAGAGAGAAAACAACTGTTTGATTTCATTATAATTCTCTTACCCCGAAGAATTACGTGAATATTGTCGTGTTAATATTAATTTTCCATTAGATATATCTTTCGTATAATAAGTTTGTTTAGAAGAATATTTTTGATTATTTTGAATAAATAGATTGTCTATTGAATCATATTTAATTAGATGTATTTTATCTTTTGATGCATTTTCATCATGTTGAAATTGCTTTTTCACTTTTGATATTGTATCCCGAAACGACGAACGCACAAGCATGATCCTGACTGTCACGTCGTCATCAAAATACTGCCTAATATTCAGTGTATATCGAATATCCTAGTCGTCCATTGTCTCTTTTCTCCTGTATGTGTGTCTCTTTTCTCTTTTTGGAAGAAAAAAAAAATGATCGGGGAATGAAAACTCGCTATTTGCCAATGACACATATCGAATGTGTGAAAACGTCAATTTTAACAAGAAGAAAAAAAAAGAACCAAAGAACTTACTCAGGTGGATGCAAAAAAAGTTGGTTATTATTATTTTCATTTGGTGAATCGTTACTAATCATAGTATTTAAGTCGTTTAATTCACCTGTAGAAATTTCTAAAACAAAAATCCGAATTTTCAATTGAGTTATTTTTAAACTTATTTTACCTTTATCAGAAGTGATTTCATGGTCATATTCGTCTTTCTCTCCATCATTCGCATCGGAATCTATACGAACCTGGAACTGACAAATATAGATAACATTAATAATATGAAATTTAAATAAAATATGTACTCGAAAAACATTTTTACTACCTGCATAAGACAAGGCATAAAGGCCTGAGATACAACAAACATATTTTAATCTGCCTAGGAAATTACATAGATTCGTTTTTCTTATTGAAGCAGACCAAAAAAAAAGTCATAAACTCCCTTCTTAAATACTTTCTCTCATTGTAAATTCTATTTCGTTACTATAGGATTGTAAAATAAAAAAAAGAAAGAAAATGTCATCAATATTTCTTTCAATAGAACATATGAAAATGTTTTTCTTTCAAGATTGTTTTTTTCTTTGTATTTGTTGTTTTCATTCCATTCCTAATTCAATTAAAACAATATTAAACATTGTATATCATTGTGTTATTTTTGTTTCAATAAGAATTCTATTTTCTATTCATTAGAAAACAGTAAAAAAGAAAATGTATAAAATACATAACCATACTTTATGTGAAAGAAATAGTGATCTTAGTAGACAAGGTCATGTAGATAAGAAAACTTTTTGCCTATGTGATTCTCGGCAGGTGACACAAATGACATTCTTCTTTTTCTTTTTCGAGTGCTATGCCAAGTGTATTATCGATTTGTTTCTCTCCCTTCGATTAATGCTAGTGATTGTTACCATGTGTAAATCAGTATCTCAGTTGTGCGTCATTTTTAGTCAAGAAATAAGAATAATATATAAGAAAAAAAAACGAAGAAAAAGATGGAAGCCATATGACCATTAGACTTTGATTTTTAAATTTTGGTTTTTTTTTTGCTCATGACAGACAATTTAATTAATAGCATGATTTATTTTATTGACGAAAATTTCTATCAAATAATAAAGATTAAATAATTTTATATTTGAAAATCTAACGAAGAAAACATAAAGAGAGGCAAAATTTGTATTCTTAGCAATTGTAGATATCTCGTCGTTTTTTACTGTATTAACATGTATGCCTATAAACAGTTCTATCTTTACTATTGCTGCCGTTACTACAATTGAATTAAGCGTCCATATCAATGACGGACATGCCATATGATAGTCTGCATGCAAAATAAGTTATCGTCATACGACAATCATATTTGAAAAAGAAGCAAAATAACCGATCGATAGTAAACGATAATGAGTCAAGTGTTTTGGTGTTTTTGTTAGTATGACGAAAGCAAAAGAAAATATATATATATATAGTTTATCAAGTGCATCTTAAATCAAAGTTCAATTTGCATATTTTTAAAAAAAAAGAAAAAATCCTTTTTTTCATGTGCTCTCAGGCTGAAAAGTGATATGACAAGCACCTTCACATCGTCTCAATGAGAAAAGAAACGGTCAAGTAGTGACGCCGTCTATATCATGTATTTGTTGAAAAAAAAAGAAAGAATTCTTGAATATAAATTTCACTATCACCATCAATACTTAGAACTTATATGACTGTTCTCATATAACAGAAGAAAAGTCAAATATTATCAACAAATATGACAGAACAGTATTGTAAAAGCTAATCATCAGCATCAATATGAATAGACAGACAGTTCATTCTATCAAGCAATTGAATAGCCCAAGAAATAGAAGAAAAGAAAGGTCAGCGTCTATCAACTTGATTCTCATCTATACTTAAGTGTATATGTAATACGATGCAACGTCTGACACGATTGCGGTAAAAACTCATACACACACATGCACATATACATATTCATTCATTCATTCGTACTTGACCATCAGTATTGACTATATATTATTCATAATATTAAATACTCAAAATGTCATTGACATCATTGTTCTTATTCTCACTAGTAGTTGTAATTATCGACGCCAATCATTATATTGTTAACAATAACAAATCGATAGTGTCGGCGCTGATTATCATCTTTGTCTCGACGACAGTATATACGTGTGTGTATCAGGGTCAAACAATAATAAACTTTCTCTATTGATACCAAGAGTATTAACACTTGACCTTCGCTATTCTATGTATACATATGTTGATGTTAAAAGCACGCGTGCCGCTATAGGCAAACAATTTTTTTCCTAATGATAAGAATGTCTTAGCCGACTTACTTACTTACTTACCTTTTCGGTTAGTTGAGATGAATCATCATAAACTGTTGATTGTCGTTTGTATGATTTATCATAATTATTCTCTTTACTGTCATCAGATCCTGCTAGTGATATAGATGAATATGAAAGTGGTGATGTTTGTTTAACGCTACGAATTGATTGTTGTCGTTGTTGTTGTTGTTCACGAGTAATACTATCAAGTAAAGTATGAGTTAATATAGATGAAAATGATGGACGATGTTGTATTTGTGTATTATCTAAACGACGTTTATTATCATGATGATCAAAATCGAAAAGACTTTGAAATAATGATGGTAAACTTCGACGTCTTTTTGTACGTGATAATATTTGTCCATGATCATGAAGTAATTTTGATGTTGCTAATGATGATAATGAAAAATTTTGTGTTGGTGATGTTATTTGTTGATTATCATCATCAGTATTACTATTGGTAACCGTATTATAAAAAGTAGATTTAGATAAACGTCGTTTGCATATAGGACAACGATCAGAACTATGTTCATTTGTTGTTGTATTGTTATTAAGTTTCGAAACAAGAACACCAAATATTGATGGACGTTTTTTATATTTAGGAAGTAAATCTAAATTAGGATGATTTTGACAAGCTAAACATGGTCGTTGTTGTGTCTGAGAACCTGCTGATGCCATTGTTATTTTCGATGTTGTATGATTCCCCGAGCGAAAAGCAAGAGAATGCAGTAGACGTGAAAATGTTTCTTTTGATAGGCTTGATTTAATAGTTGTTGGTAGTTTTGTGGACTTAGTTGATGATGTATTCACTACTTCATCATGATTATCATTGTCAACTTCATCATCATCATCATCATGTTTTTTTCCATCTAAATTTGTTGATGACCCAAGTGCAAATGAAAAACTTCGTTGTTGATTAATAGGTATTCCAATTTGATTATGTGACTCTTTTTGTTTAAGTGATGATGTACGTAAAACAGATGTACGTTTTAATTCGTTTTCTAAAACTTCATCAAATTCATCAAGTATAGCCACATGTCCATTATCATCATCGTTAGATCTATTATTGTTATTATCACCATCGTCATCTACACAAATTTGTGGTATGGACACTGTTGTTGACAATTGTTGTTGTTGTTGCTGAGTTTTACCACGAAATTTTCGCATACTTGTGATTGCTAATGTTGGATCGATAATTAATAATTCAGCAGCTGACTGATGACTATTATGTGTTTCTGTATAGTGTTGCTTATGATGTTGTAAATAACGACGAGCTTTATTCGAACTCGTCATTACTTGATAAATGCTTTCCGATCTGTAATAATGATGAAAGATTATCTTCTCTTTTGTGTCAGACGTCGTAGACAAGAGAATGTTCACTATCAGCAAAAGTAGTAATAAAGACAGAGAATGAATAAGAGTCGAAACTGTCTCGTGTGTTCTGTTCTCTTTTCATATGATGAAAGAGCAATGGCAAAAATTGAATATAAAAGGATAGAGAGAGAGAGAACGAAAGAAAGCAAAGGAAAAGAGAGCGCTCATCGAACAGAGAATACAGAGGGAGAGAGAAAAAAAATGATGACAGACTCGAAATTCCATTACATCAACTTCAATCGATGTTTTTTGAATACACAAAATATCTCTCATTATTTTTTTTTGATTTATTCGAAAAAAAAAACTTGGTTCAAATACAAAGGAAAAATTATTCTATAACAAGAAATCAAACATTTATTTATTGACAACTCAAACGTAAAATATTCTTTTGTTACAAAAATTCAGGCATATACATTTTTTGCATACAATCATTGACATTAATATAATAAAGTTATCTGCATATTAAAATAGAATTAAAAAAAAACGAGAGAAACATGTAAACTTGAAAGAAGCTGACAAAATCTTTGAAATTCTTTCTTTTTTATCCTGTCATTTCTAAAAAAAGATCAAATTAAAAAAAAGGCATTGATTATTCATGGAGAATCTTTCATTTGTTTATTTGTATTTCTATTAGAATTTAATATAAAAACAAATTTGAACAGAGCATAATCCTATTCTACTTTTGTGAGGCTATTTTGACGTGACATTCAACTTACCTATTCACTCTGTCTAGATCTTCTAACTATGGCTTGATTAGATAGATACCTAAGATATGACAGCAACAATGTTTTGGTGCCGGTCGTTTTGAAACTATCCACATTCTTAGGCTACAGTAGGGGTTTTTCTTTTGTGTCTATCTCGTTTTTCTCTCTGTGTGTGGTTCTCTCTCTCTCTCTTTGATTGTTTGTTCGATATGCGACACAATATCAGTAGACCAAATATATAAGAGACCACCCATTGTATGTTAACAGAGTAAAATAACAACTGTAATAGAAGCAGTTTTACTTCTATTGTCGTTCTCATTCGCGGGTTGCGTTCAATTACATGAAAAGAGAAAAGAAAAGAAAAGAATAGTGATGACGAGAACAAAACTCTCGTATGCTCAGTAGGTGTATATGTTAATGGTGGTACCGTTCGAATATAAAAGGTTTCATACTCATTCGTTTATTTTTCATCGTTTTATAACATCTTCTTTCACGTACAAAGATGGATTAGAGAATAAGAAAAAGAAAAGAACGAACGAAAGAGAAGAGTTCATTTTTATGTCCAAGTGCTTGTGATTTCGTCGTTTTTCTCTTCTAAGGTTTCAACAACAAATGTTACATATTATTCATAGGCGTGTGCGAGAACATACACACCACTCACAGAACAATTGTATATGTATACATATATACATATGTCGGTAAGATCATGGACAAGCGGAAAAAGTGTATGAAAAAAGAAACAAACTAAAAAAAAGGCAAATTTGTTTAAATCATTCTATTATATGTGCACATTGATCTCTTATCAGTTTCTGACTCGTTTTTTTTTCTTCTTTTATTGCAATAAATTATACTCAATGTATTATAATCAAATAAAAGAAAAAATGCTTTTGATTATTATTACTATCGAATTATTCTATGATAATCTTAACTTGCAAAATTAGGTAATAAGAAAAAGAAAATCTTCATTCGAGACAGAGAAAGTTTTTCTTTTTACGACGAGCAAAAAAAACATTAAATTAAAATACGACCTCAACAATAAAAAGCAGAAAAATAAATACAATGAAAAATGATTCTAGTACATTATGGTAATTAAATGTTTAATTTAAATAATGAAATCATTTTATTTTCGTTATTAAATTTATGATTTTTGGATGCTATCAATTTTATTTTGAAGTACTACTGTCTTCAACTTTTGATTGATCAAATGTATATATTCATTTGAAGTGGAGCTTTGATCATATTTTTATCAAACGTTTAGCAAATAATGCTTGGACAGATATATGAAAAGCTTTTAGATAGTTTTTTTAAATAATCTTAACAAAAAAGAAAATAATGAAGATTGTATTTTATATCCATGATATTTATATTTAATGATTCATCAAATATTGAATTAACTTTATAGTTACTGACAACGATAAAATCGTTTATTTTTAGTATGTCCTTTTATTTTATTACATTGAATTATTGACAGCATATACAATGATTAACGAGCGTATTCAAGACACGATTTCTTTTTTTTATTAGTTGTTAATAGACTTAATAACAAAAATGAAGTTGACATTTTCGATAGAGAGGAGAGGAGCTTCCTTTTTAATATCTGATTTTTTTCAACAGTCTAATGATAACTTTGAATAGATATTGGATTTTGAAAAATCATTTGTTTTGCAGAAAGTGAAATAAAAATAAGCAGATAATGTTGTTGCAAGGTGAATATGATTGGGGTAGAAACGATCTGATTACAAGTCGTCTGTTGTTAAACAATCGGATCCTCACTTCCAACATTGTACGAATGAAAGCATTTAGTGTAAAAAATTTTTAGCTTCTCCAACCTCTCCAAAAAAAATCGACAATTCTGACTGTAAAAGGAAATATATCGAAAATTTCAACTAACAAGACGTTAGTCTTTGACATAATACTAATACTGTGACCTAGATCATATACAAGTCAAGAGTATCAAAAAAAAGAAATCATAGTATCGTCTGTTTTTTCTTCACTTTACGAACTGTGCAAGACAAGCCATCTAAATATTTCATTACATTTATAAGTCCTATTGTTCACCAAGATTATCTATACGTTGAATAGAATTTGTTTTGACTTAGTGGATGTAGATTTTCTTTCCATCTACATTCGATTTAGCTAGTTTCAATACTTTTCCTTTCGACAGGCAACCAAATTTTTAATAATTCCATACAAAAATATTCGACTAAAATCATCAGCCAAATCAACATGCATAAGTTCTACAATGATCATTAAATAATAAAGAAAAACGTAAGTCAGTTTAATAAGCATTTGTTATTCTACCTAAGGGAAAAAATTAATCGGTTTTTCTATCAAGCAGTATTGAATAGAAATAAGTAGATGCTCAACTTGAGAATAAATGCACGAACAAACAGATTACCATATAAAACTAGAAAATTCTCGAAATGAAATAACTGCAGATATGCCTAAATGTACTAAGTAGCTGTGTAAGATTTATCTCAAAATTCATAAGAACTTATTGAAAAATTTCCAAAAGAAAATAAGTCGCGGCAGATGCTAGTTGTCATAATATTGATTGATAACACTATCCTTGTTTTCAGTGGAAAAGATTTGATGTATCAAAAATGTTTACCTAAAACTTGAAATCGATCATAATATTTCAATCCTAAATTGATGTTCTGTACGGCATATAATCCTAATAAAAACAAGACTTGTGATATCAGTAAACCTTTTTTGTATTATAAAAACTTTTTTTCACTGTAGTCTTGGAATGCTTGTTTACGTTCACAAAGCATGATTCATAGTTTTAATTGAATTAAAAATCCGTCTGTTGTGACATACATGAAACTCAGATTTACCTTTAGAATTTGTCCTTGACGGCTTGAATGATATTAATTCAACACCATTCCCTTAGAAAGAAGCACGTATAGATAAATAAGATTAATCATTTTATTTTCTGTTACAATGTATTTCATTAAGTCTAATGCAAAAACGAGAAGAAATTTTTCGTAAAACTTCAAATTAAAATTTCAAAAATATTCATATAAAAAACGGGTTTTAATTTAAATATAATTTTTCTATTAATATATATGTCATTAGTCTCTTGTCTTCTTCTATGCAAATGATGCCAATTACAAGAACTAAAAAAAAAGATTTTGATGTTTCGTCATATTCTTTCCTTTTAATTCTAATTGAATTCCAAGAAAAATTACATTCCTATCATAGAAAAATCTAATCATTCATGTTATTGAAACTTTCATTATTCATATAAATTCTCTTATGATTTCCTAATTTTCTAGAACATGTATTTATTCAGAACACAAGATTCATTTCAATAATTTGTTTCTTTACAATATAAGCCTGTTTGCACAACAACACAGAAAGGAAGACACGTCTTAGTAATAATTTCAGATTACAATACACGTATAGCTGCTTAGCGGCGTACAAATTATTAATGATTAAGAAAAGTAAAGTAAAGTATATCTGACAGGAATACTACGAAAAAATATACAATTGAATAATACAGTAAAGAAAAAAAAAATATATATATATATAGTTGACTTTCTTATTTCTTTGGACTAGCATCTCTTGCGTCAGGAAAATGTTCATTATATCGATTAAGACGGATATATTTAACATTTATTGTTCGATCTTAAAAATAAATAAAAAAAAATGAATTAATAAACGATCAGAAAGTTTTCAGACAAAATGTTTATTCACTTTTGACCCGCCTATTATTTGAAGTTATTTTTCTCTCTTTCAACAAAGTGCCTTAATTTTCGTTTTTCCTAAATTGTTTAAAAATTGGCAAACATTTTTCATTCAAAGAAGCTCTTGAAAACAAAGCTACAGCTTAATTCAATATCACAGTTTGTCGAGAAATGTCTACTATCTCCAACAATTTTAGTATCTTTGAAAAAGAACCTCTAGGTTTATACAAAATCGATTGATTTATTACTATCAGGTCTTTCAAAATATCCCTGATTAATCTTGAACAAAAATACACACAACATTGGTAAGTCTATACGTAAAATTTGAACACGATGCATAGTTTCTTAGCTCGCCTGAAACGCTTTAACATGTTCATCGAAAACGTTGACCCACAAGTTTTATCCAAAGAAATCGTTTTAACTTTTCAAAGTATATTGCACTACTATCAAACAACAACTGAGACAAAATTTCTACGACGATGTTCGAAAAGAGAGCAAAATTCAGGTTCGAAATCATATCTATTCACTAGTCATCTGAGAAATATGTAGGATGCGCCGATCATCGAATACAAAAAGTCGGAAAAAATTATCGATTACCTCTAGGTCGACTATCCAATGCTCATTAGAAACTTTCAATTTCATAGTTTGGATCTCAAAAACCAACTCTTCGTCCAGAAATCTAAGACTCGACAGGCTCTACTAGTCGAAGATATTCTCTAACAAGTCAAAAGTGAACAAATATCTTGTTTAACAACTTTCCAATCATTCGTTATTTAATAAGAGATTTCATTTAAGTTACTTACCTTGATATTTCCAATTATTAAGTAAATCATAAGCTTGACCAGCTGCTTCTTTTGATGAGAATTTTAAATAAACAAAAACCTAAACAAATAAATAAGTAAATATGTTAAAAATATTTGAGATTTGTTCTTACCGAATGGATTCCAATATGTTCAATTCGTTTTATATTAGCACATCGACTTCGAATACTTTCAATAACATGATCGATTTCATCATCATCAGCATAACTAAAAAAAAACATTTGATTTTCAATATTCAGAAACAGAAAAGACTATTGAAATGACATACTTATCCGAACGAAAGCAATTACGTAATTTAAGACATTCAGTAAGGCCTACTTCAGATGTAATAAAAGCATTATTTTCTTCATTTGAAATATTTACAGGTTCCTGTTCAAACAAAGAAAAAAAAATTGAATTTTTCTAGAACAAATACTTTCATTTTGTTTTTCATTATACCGATTTATTTTTTTTTGGTGATAATTTTAACCATCGCCAAACATCAAAATGTTCACCATTGATTTCTTGTGTTTCAGAACTAATTCGTGATTTTTCTTTCGTTAATTGTTTTTTAACACGTTCCCAAATATTTTTTAATTTATCTCTATTAAATATGAAATCAAATGAAAAAAAAATGAAATATAACATCAAAAGAAAAGATACGAACTGATCTTCTTTTGAAATAAGTTTTTCACGAATATGACTTATAGCAAGCCATGGTTGTGCATTAGGATCTTGAATATGTTTTTCATATTGTTCTTCAAGTAGTTTAGTTGCTTTTTCAAGAAGATTATTGTATGTTCTTTCATTGTCTTGATGTGCTTTCGATTGTTTTTGAAGATACCAAGCTAATGTTAAAAGACCAGTAGATCCTTAAAGGGAAAAAAGAAACTTTTTCAAAACAAAATCCATGAAAAAATTAACTACTTACCTAACACAAGTAAAATAAAGTTTCTTAATGTATTACTAATATCTTGTCGAGCGCGACATGTTAATGCGCGTACTGCTTCTGGTGTACTTAATTTTCTTGCTTCAGTAGGATTTTTCGTTTCTTTATTTGCTTCATTCCATACTCTAAAGATTCATAAATTAATTAAATAGAACTCAGATGAAAGGATGCGAACAAAACGCAAAAGTATTTATTGTTTTCGAATTTCCTTTATTTCGTCCAGTTCTAAATATAACCGGCGAATTGTTGTATTCTTTGTAATCTGCTGAATTGTAAAGTACGTACATTTCAAAAAATTTCTATATGCTGAACAGAGCAAATAGATTTGTTCTTTTTTGCAGGTTTTTGAAGTTTATTTCGTTATGTGTCATGCACAAAAAAAAATTTAAAAAAAATTCATTTTTCCATGAGGAATACAGAAATCATCTTTCAAAAGCTTCATGTATCAATGAAAGTTTGAAGAAAATTTGGCTTTTTAAAATTTCTCCAATCAGTTTATTTCTAGATACCTCAATGTGTCCTATAGACCCATATGAAATTTTTAAAGCGTCTGCATATTATTTGAAATCACTAATTGGATAATTTTCTAATTCAAACATTGAGTCTTTCCTTTTAAACATAAACTTACAATATATCTTTTGATGGCGTAGTCAAAATATACATAACTAATGCATTCCATCGTTCTTCATCACCCAAAGTAAATTTTAGTCCCTAGATGTAAATTTCCGATACATTTCCATACATACACAAAAGAAAAATCTTTCTTTACTTTTTCGTTTAAATTTTTTTCGATTTCAGATCTCTTGACCAAAATATCATTACTAGGACGAAAACCACAATCCACTTCACCTATACAACAAAATTATATTCATAAAAGAAAAAACTATTTTTTGTGTTAGTATTACCAGTTCGAATTTGTAATTGTTTTCGTACAGCAGCAATTAATGGTTTCATATCTTCACATGTAGTCTTAAGTAAAAAAGAATAATTAAATAGAAAAAGACAAACCAAATTAAACAAAATACTTACAACATTCTCAACCGCACAATTTATTTCTACAAGAAATCAAAGTTTCAAAAACTTCAGATTGTCGAATAATAAATTTACCTTTAGTACGTGGCAAAAATTCAGCATAGTATTGTACTAAAAAACTGACTCCACCAATGAGAATGGAACTAACAAGTAAAATTTTTAAAATATTTTTTATAAAATCTGAATTTTTTCCCAAAAATGATCCAATTGGTTTTCGTATATGTTTAAATGATGATTTTTTCTCTTCATCTTTATCAGATTTTGGTGATCGTTTAACTTTCGCGTTATTATCATCATCATCATCATCATCGGTTTTTGATGGTTGTTGATGAGTACGTGATTTCGAACTTGGATGAATTGGTGTTCCTATTTGTTCTTGATGTTCGGCCGAATGTAAAGAAGAAATGCTTGTATTAGTTGCACGATTTCGATCACGTGCTGAATCAAGTAATTGTTTTATTTCACGACGATGCCGAGCAACTAAAAGTATTCATTAGAAATATTAAAAAAAAAAGAACTATCTAAGAATAACATACTCGATTGTTCAACATCATCAGTTATATTTCCTGAACCTGCTATATCAGTTATTGATGGTATTCCAGTCGGTGAATCGTTTTGACGACGTAATGCAATTGAACGTGTTTGCACATTAGGTGTTGTTTGTCCACTACGAAGTGATCTTGACATAAGAACACCAGTTGATGATGAATCTGTTTCTGAATCACTCAATTCAATAAGATTCGATGGTTGTTGTGATCGAGTTGTTGGACGTGATGCTACTGTAGTAGTTGTTGTTGCACTTGAACGGATACGTGATGGTGAACTCGTAGCAAGTGATCGTGATGGTGAAGCAGCACTACGTGTTGTGCGTGATGGAGAAGCAGTAGCACGTGTCATTCGTGATGGAGAAGCAGCAGCAGGAGGTCGTGATGGTGAAGCAGAAGCAGCAGCGCTACTGGTACGTGTTGTACGTGATGGAGAAGCAGCAAGTTGAGATCGCGATGGTGAAGCAGCAGCTTGAGAACGTGATGGTGAAGCAGAAGTACGTGTTCGTGTTTGTGATTGAAGAATTTCAAGCCGAGCACGAAGTTGTTCACGATTGCGTTGAGTAATTGGTGGTACAGTTTCACCATAATTTATTAATTCTTGACGTAATTGTTGATCAGTAAGAGTCATCGTTATTCTCTCTTTTGATATACTGATGTGCTGTTTACGATTAGAAATGCTTGTCTAAATGAAATGGAAACACAAATGTTAAACTATAGATAAATAGAATAAGAAGATCTTTGTTTCATGCAGTAATAAAAGATATGCTAAGAAGAATGAATTGCTTTCATTGAACGAACAATGACAGGTCAAGATAAATCATGGACGATCCTTAGCCCTACAGTAAATATTATTCACGTTGATAGTAGCGACGAGAAATATAAAAAATGCATTCCGTCTATATTTTAAATGACAAAGAGAAATACTGTAATACGTTAAATAGTATAACCAATTATTCAATTGCTGGTGCTCGGAAAATATAAATATAATTCAGAAAAAAAAGGAAATTAATTAATTTTAAATAGAATAAAAGTCTACACTTCATATTGAAATGTTTTTTTTCCTTATTAAAGATGTCGCACAATGATATAGAATCACGGTGGCAAGTAGTGAATATTCTTTTTCTTGTTCAAAATAATTTATTTTTGCTTTGTTCTATATAATCAAATACTTGATGTTTTTCGATAAAGAATGAAAAGCAATCAAAAAAACTAATTATTTTCAAGTGTTGAATCATTCTATCTACTTTATAAGAGAATCTAATTTTTATTTTTATGAAAAACAAAATCATCCATATTGTCTGTTAAAAAAAAAACAAACATCTCTCTACAGATGGTTTTTTCGCAACTACAAAATAAATGAATATGATGCAAAAATAAATGTCGATTAATTTATTGGGCATTGACTTATATTTTCTTGTATGAATACATACACAGTAATTGGTAAAGTCTTAGAATATATGAAATTCGAAATAAATGATTATCGTAACTTTATTTAGTAGATTTCACAATGTTTTATTCTTTCTTTTTGCAAGGACAATATTTGCGAGAGAAATTTCATTGTCAAAAGCATATATCTAACATAATGCACACTCGATCGATCGAAAGTTTACATATGGCTCGTTTGGTGAATATGCAAACAAGGTATTGCTTCTTTCACAATAGTTGCTTGTCGTCGTCATCTTATGATTAGACATACATTCATACACTTTCTGAAAATGAAAAAAAAAAGTCATTGTCTTAAACAAACAATTCGAGTGAAAGAGAGAGACAGAGAAAAAAGAAAGAAGTCGTCGTATGTCAAATAAACTTGCTTGCTTGCTTTCAACCATATCCAATATATATTGATGTAGTCATTCTCAATCTTGAATTTATAAAAGTGGAAATCATACTAGAGAGAGAGGGAGAAAGAGAAACATACTAACCGCAGTGATGAACATTGTTCAATATATCAGCTGGTTAGATGCTTGAAGAGACTAGTATATGATTCTCTCACTTTCTTTTTTGTCTCTTCTTTCTCGTTTCTTTTTACATACTTTCTTTCACTCGTCGTGTGTCAAACACACTCATTTTTAATGGAATTTCAAAATGCATCGTACATTGTGAAAGTAAGAGAGAGAGAGAGAGAGAGGGAGAGCGAGACGGCGCTGCGCACACACACTTTAACGAACATTTTCATAATTCTCTCTCATTTTTTTCTTCTTTGTGCTACTGCTACTGCAACTACTATTCTCTCTTTCATTCAACACAACGGTCGACTAACCGTCTTTCAAAATACACAGACACACCGGCAAAGACAGAAGAAAAGTATGCTAGTCATTCATAGTCTAGCATGTTATTTAAGTAAGTTCAGTTCATTATTTTATAATTGATCTCACTATAATTTTTATCAATGATTTGAAGAGTTGTATGAGAGAAAGTGAGATTCCATGAATGAATTATTTTAATTTCTTCTTGATCAAAATACATTTAACTAGACCAATAGAACTTAAATATTTATAAGAAATATTTTGTTCAATCATTACTTATTCTTTAATCATTTTCTTTTTTTTTCCTCTAAACACATGAATAGAAATGTATATTCACAAAATCTAATTGTCACTATAAAAATAAAGAATTGATAGAAAGAACAACGGACTCATTTCACACTCACTTACATCGCTTCCAGCTCATATGTTGATGTCAATTTCCTTCATTTTTACTTACTTTTCTTTTACACCGGATAGATAAGTAGACGATGACGGTACACACTTTCTCACTAGGCCATTTTACCACGATAGTAGTTATGATGGTAACAAAGCGGAAACCCGTTCGTTTTTTTTCTTATACACCTATATATACACGCACGTTTCTTTCTCTCGTTTCACGTCTGTCATTTCAAATCATGAGCCGAAACGCTTGATGCCGTGCATGTATTTAGCAAAAAAAAAGTGTATGCTACTCGAAGTAGTAGTAGTAGTTATGAGTGAATAAGAAAGGCAAAAAAGGAAGTTGTTACGGTGGAAATGAAAGAAAACACTTATCAATGAACTCATACGAACACAAATCGGTGCGAGACACGATGGACATTGCACCTTTAGAAAACAAAAGAACGTCATTTTGAATTTTTTTGGAAATGAAAAAAAAAAAGAGAGAAAAAAAATTCTTTACTCTTAAAACTGTTACTGTATGCGTTGTTCACTTAGTTGCATTTAATCACTTTGCTCGTCGTCACACTTGAGAGAGAAGAGCTCTTACTTCGTTTTCTTCCTCCGCCTTCTCTGAGGAAAAGAAAGTAAAGAGAAACAAGAGAAAAAAAAGGTGTTCTTACAAACACACATTTAAGAGACAGAGAGATCCACACTTGAACATTAATGGGATGGTAATGATGATGACAATGGAAACGAAAATAGTCAATTGACTAGTAGCAGAAATACAAAAATCTATGAAAGTAAAGAGCGTGACACTATTTAATAATGTATGAATGTAAGACAAATAAAAAAAATCTATGATGACAGGACAGGTGGAAATCGATAGAAGACACACGAATTGTATATCTACTGTTTAGTCTACTTTTTTTTGATTGACTATTTAGTCATCCGTAAATTTGACAAGTGTGTCAACTTATTAGAAATAGCAGAAGTCAGGTAGACAAAAGAGTAACAGTCAGATCAAGCGCCCGAATATCTTGTTATTAGAATTTAGAACATACATGCACACCTGGACAGAGAGAAAGAGAGAAAGACACACTTTCTCCTTCTCTCTCTCTCACTCACTCACTCACTCACACACACTCTTTTTTCACTTCTCTCTTTCTTTTCTTTTTCTTTCATTTTCTCTCTTTAAATCAACATCTCATTTTGTTGCCACTACCTTTACTTTTTCTCACTCGCACATTTTAACATTCATTCGTCCCAGTTTACACATATATATACATACACCGTTCATTATTAAGATGTATCTTTACTGAGCGGTTGATTTACACGATTCCGCTTAGTATCGTTGCATCTTCAACAATCTGATTCGGTATTATCATCTAATCATTATATATGTGTCACAATAAACTCACATCAGATATTTATATGTATATCATCGAATGTTAAGATGATAGTTCTTTTGAAAACACATTCATTTCAAAGACTATCACAGCTTGAAAAACAAGATCAGTATGTCTTCAATGGAAAAGACTAAAAATAAATTTTTAGTATCTTGTTTTTTTATTTCATGGAAAAATAAAATGTGATGTAGTATTCTTGTTGCTTACATTCATTGAAAGACTTTAGTTTAAAACTAACAAATTTTTCACATAGAACGAATTGGTAAGTGATCATATTTATATTGATTTTATCTACAAGTAAGTATTAAAAATCCTAAAAATAAAAATTCTGTTTTGTTTGCTACGAGTCCATATGGAATATCATATTCTAGACAAAAAGAGAAAAAGAAAAACATAAAAATTCAATTGCGCAAAGGTAATAATCATTTCTTTCTTATACTTGATAAATCTATATATGTACATGATGCAATACATTGACAATTTTCTTTTTAATTTATGTGAATTGGTTGGCATCTTTGACAAACATTGTATTCAAGTGTCATTTTTTTTTTCATCAAAATGTAAATAAATACAATGCAAAAAAAAAGAATACTATGGCTACATCATATGTAAAGAACAAGAAAAACAATTCGTGATATATATTCATGATTCAGAATTTTCATTACTATTAAAATGCATATAAGAAATTGAGTTTAACATTTATGAAATCGACAAACTCACTAAAGAGCGATATGTAGACAACTAAATCATGTTTTATTGATCTATTGTCTCTTTTACGTTTAAATTAAATCCTATGATAAAGTAATTTTATTGATTTTCATAGACCAAAAAAATAAATTTTAATTTAATTAATATTGTCAAAGAGTGATTTCAAAAGTTTTTTTTCTTTCTTTTTTTATTGTTATATTGATTTTCGAAAATCATGTAGAGATTGTCTAAATCGAATGCTTTTATTCTTTGTGACTATTGCGTCTCTATTAAAAATCATTAATTTTTAAAAATTGTAATTAAAGAAGAATATATCATTACGAAATTCTATGTGTATTCGCTGATTAATAAAATTTTTTTAAAAAGTCTACAGATAATTTCAATAGTTGATCACATAGTTGGGTATAATAATTTATAAATAAGTAATTTCTTTGACATATGTTGATTATAAAAGCAAAAAAAAAATTATTGTAGATGAATTTATACATATCATATATTGTAATTAACAGTTAAAGGTAGGTTTCTTTTACATTAGTATGATTATATTTACTTTAGTTTTTTTCTCAATCAGATAATTAAAGAGCAAGTTCATTTAACTTGAATGATTTTGTTGAATAATTTATATGATACTAGTATGAATGAAACTAAGTTTAATAAATGATAGAAACATTCTTAAATATATTGATAAACAAAAAGAACGAATGAAAATAGAATGATAAAAATAGACATAATATTCAAAATAATCAATGAGGCAAAAGTAATTACCGAAATCTTGATACGTAGTACTCTGCATAGATGCATCATAGAAAACTTATACTTTTTTCCAGTTGAAAAAGCAATTTCTGAACCTCAAAAAACATAAGAAAAAAAATTTTGAAATTAACTTATCAGTGAGAAAAAAACTCAATATCAAATATTGTCAAAAGAGATCTTGCTACATATTTCTTTCCTTAGATATTTTTTTTTAGAGTGTAAAGAAAAACTTTATTGACTTTCATACTTGAAAAACTTTCTCAGTAATTCTTTAATAATAAATAAAATGTATTATACGCTTTATTTTTGATAGAAAGCACTATTTTATATGAGAAAGAAAATCTTCGTTATCATTCAAGACTTCAATTTGTTAATAAAGATTAAAACTAATTTGAATTTTGTATAGAATTATATACTGCTTCAGATTATGTGTTTCGAACTAAGAAGATAGGTTCATTAAGAAAGCACTCCTCAGTGGCGGATCCAGACGGAGGCAGATGTGACGACCGCCTTCCCCTTTGGATATAACTCCAAGGTTTTTGTCTAATAATTTTCCTTGGATATTTTACATTTTTATCTCATCCGCCTCCCACTTTCGCTCATTTGCTCTCGTTTCGCTTATTGGACTCCATTTTTCGCTTATCTGCCATCGCCTTCAGAAATTTCTGGATTCACCATTGGTACTTGTAAAAGGACAAAAGAACTGAGGTACTGATGATAGTTGAAATTTTTGATGTTTTATATGCATTCGAGAGGTTATCATCTAACATTAGTAAACCTCGATTTTTAGTAAATTTTGATGTCTTGCAGTAAAGATGATCTAGATCGACTTTTCAACACTACTTATCTGCTATCAGCGATTTAGTGATTAATTGTCTCATACTTTTGGATTCTCATCAATTTGAAATCTTGGAAATTCGCTGGTTCCCTCTTAGCTTGTGTACTCATGTTGATTCAGCAAATAAATTGTGTATATGTAATATTTTAAATAACTCATTTTTTCAGCTGTTGGTGATCTATCTTTTGATATATAGCATGCAAAAGTTCTCTGATTTGAGGAAGTAACGTTCTAGTATACATGTATCAGATAATTAATCACTATTTTCTTGATCGCAGATAGATAGTGTTGAATAGTCAAGCAAGGTTAATTCTACTATAGAACAACGAAATCAATTAAAATTTTGGATTTGTCGTTTTTAGCTGATGATCTTTCGAACCTATATAAAAAATAAAAGTTTTGATCAATGTCTGTATATATGGATGATCCTTTGTGTTTGCATGGAGCGTCACTTTAGCATTTGTAAACTAGTCCATAAGTCAGGTGACCCAGTTTGTGAAATCAATGAGTGATCTGCAAAGTTTCGATCGTAAAGCGCGCTAAAACATAAATAATCATATCTTATCTGCAAGAGTGATAAAGACGCTTCTAGTTTTGATACGGGAGATACGTTTGAAGAAAACAAAAGTTGCCAGAGCTATTTTCGTATCATCATCAAGAGAAGAGTGAACTCTATACGATATTTCTAAACAGAGAACCATAAGTGAAAATTTCAGCAATTATTTTTGCATCACAAGTGATGTCGAAATCTAAGTAATACGAGATTGACTATTTTTCAGAGATTCTAGTTATGTGTTTTATTTAAAAAAAAAAAAGAGAGCGTGTTTAAGTATGCAAGAACAACAGTGTATCGCATATTATAAAAGAAAATGTTACTCATCGAAGAATACATAACGTGGTATTGTCTTAGTAGTAGATCTACTGGATGCAGATGTTGTATCACATGATTGTTCTTTATTAATTGAATGGTTGCTGGTGACTTACGAAGTATGAACTTGTTTAGCTTGTGTTAGACGGGGAACCCATCGAGGATATTTTGTCCATATTGTACTATCTTGTCGAACATTAGATGCTGATAATTGATCATGTGATGGATAATCATGCCTTGGCGCGAATGTTGAATGGGATGATGATGTAATATGAAACAGATCGTTTCTTTGTTGAATATTATTTTGATTAATATCATTGTTGATAGTAGGTGATGCCTATGACCTATCTAGTTGAGTTGATTGTGGTTGCATTGAATGAAGATCATAGGTTGTTGTTCCTTGACTATGATCAATTTTATCTTCAGTAATATTTGATATTGATTGAACATTCTTAGAAATCGATGGCAACAATGGAAGGGGATGATGATGTCGTATCATTTTGTGTTCATTAATACTGTCGAATGTTGTGTCGAGTGTAATTGACGTATTTCTATTCTTCAAAGCCAAAGATACATTATAATCGTTGTTTATGGTTAAGAAAGAACCAGCTGATAGGGATTCAGTATAAATACTTTTGTCACCTAAAGTTATATAGGACGTATCGGTCAATGGACCACTATTGTTATCATCGTTTTCGTTCATTTCATATTTTTTTCCATTTATAAATGAAGGTTTATTACAATAAGCTCCTTCTATTGTGTACGTAATGACAAACTTTTTCTTTTGCTCATCATAAATTACATGACAGGGTTTAAACATTATCGATGAATTAATAAATTTATTTTCGATATTTTTACTAACCTAATGAAATAAAATAACTAAAAACAACAGCAACAACAACAACAAATTGGAATGACGATTACTGGAACGATAACGGCAGTTGAATCTAATGATGTATTGTTGTCTGTAAAGTAAAATATGTAATACAAGTTCAACATAAAAGATAAATAGCGAAAGTTGATAGACTTACGAATAGTTGTATTTTCAACTGTGATTGTAGTTCTAGAATATTTTCAAATGAGCTGAATATTTGTACAAAAGAAATAAAGTGTTTCAACAAAGAAGAAAAATGTCTTTTTGAATAGTTTTAGATAGGAACAAGATAGAGAGCTGTGGTTTCTGCTATTACAAAAAGAAGTCTCAGGCGTATATATAAGTACTGAAGTTCTAGCGACCAGTCTTGCACCATTCAGATCAATTCATGGTGGACATTTTGAAAAACGATATTGCAGGCCCATTTCTCACTCGATCTTAATAGTTAATTTAACCAGTAGATAGAAAAATTTCTTTACTTTCGATCCTCAAAATATTGACATTATTAGCTTAGTTCGTCCCAGAGTTATCAAGGTTTTCTTGAGACTCGCGATTTCAGCTAATTTGTTTAAGATTACTCGGAAACTCATCTAGGCAGATTTAATTCACGGTGTTGAGTCGAATAGCGATATTTATTTTTAAACTCGAAATGACATGACATTGTTATCTCAATATTTATGATGTGTAGGCTTATAATGCTACATTACGGCAAATTGCGAAACTCTGAAATAACAGTGTCAGATCCTTTCGAATCGTAAAAAATATATTAACATTTAACTCAGGACTGTGAATTATTCCTACCTGAATGCTTTTTCGAATGTTCACAGATCAATCTGGTGAAATTGAAGGCCACAAAAAAATCCCTATTAACTCTTGAATGGAACAAGTTAGCAATATCCGCCTTGTGTAAACAGAAAGAGAACAATTTTTCCTATCTATTGATCAAATGAACAGCCAAGGTCATCTGAAAAATTGATCTTCCAATATCGTTTTTCAAATGTCCACCCAAAACTAATCTAATTGGTTTAATACTGGTCACTCAAATTTCAGCACTGATATACATGCCTGGGTCTCCTCTTTGTAATCGTGAAAACCACAACTCTCTGACTTGTTTCTATCAAAGCTTATTCAAAAATACTCACAGCTCTTCTTTTTTGAAATGAGTAATAGTTCTGATTTGTTGTCTTTACTTCTGGAGAAGTGATAAGAAAACTTACATTGAAGACTGTGTTATTGTTGAGTCTGCTATCAGTAATTGTGTCGTTGTTAATTCGATTGTTGATAATTCTGTTGTTAATGATTCGGTAGTCATTCTAATCAGACAAATAATAATACTTTCTATGTCTATATAAATAATCGAAATAAATCTTACTCATTAGTAGTTATTTCTACTACAGGACATGTCCCAAAAGTTCCCCTACCCACAGTGAAGGTAAGACAATATTGATTCGTTTGAACACTTTGGTTATTAAAACAAACAACTGATATGCGAAATGAAGTTTTCAACCAAAAAATTGATTTACCTGTCAATACCAACTGAACAAAATATTTGTCAACCAACTTCATTTGCTGTTGGTGTCTATGTAAGAGTTATTGACCATAGAGTGCTCGTATTGTGAACAATTGGCGTTTTAATAACAATTGGAAATGGTTGAGTGGCTATATCTACTATCTTAATGCCATAACTAGAACAGTAGTTTTCTGCAATTAACTCCAAAGTGTATGGTACTCCCACTTGTACGCCAGTACATGTACCTCCGAGAGTTGGACCATACAAATACGGTCGTTGAGTACAATTAGGTTGAGCATAGACATGAAAAGAAATTGAACAGAAACTGAGCTATAAGGTATTGTAGTCATCGAATTTGCAAAATCTTCAACCTAATATATTTAAAATAGAATTACGTGAAAGTATGATGTTGATTATATCTTTCAACAAGCAGAATTTATCTAATATCGACCTTGAAAATAATTTGTTCAGAAAGAATAAAACTCGTTTCTATTTCTTTTTGAAACAAAAGCAAAAAAAATATTGACATATTCATTTTCTTTCTTAATATACAAACCCTGACTAGGTCATTTCTTTTTTTTTCTATTAAATGTAATCAAATGTTTACTTTCTAACTTTTAAGAAGAAAATAAAATAACAGATTTTATGTAAAATATTTGAATAGTAACAGTATATCAATCATCCGCTTGAGCACCTGTGATAATAAGTGTACAATTATTTGAAATAGTAGTACCATTCGGTAATGATTTTGGTGGACAAACACTATCGCATTCAATAGCACCGCTTGCAAAACGACATCGAACTTCATCATTATCAGCATCTATTGTTGGTATTGAAATCGTTTGTTGAACACCAACAGGAATATCAATAGGACAGATCATAGTAGCTAACGGTGGGTTATTGTATCTACCATCGGATCACATACGTAAATCAATCAGAGTTGATATACTCCAATTTTGATTTGATCCACTACCACTCGGTAGACTAAGAGTACGAAAAGCGCTTCCGTTATTAGTAATACTAAAATATGATCCGTTATTAAGTAAAACATCGTCAGTTCGTTGTCCAACAGTAATTAACATTCCAACTGAATAATCAGTACATTTTGACGCAATAGGTATGGATATATAACCACCACTTGTTGAACAATTAGCAATACAAATAAGCGTTGCTGTTGCATCTCCAAAAAGAGTAAGTATCAAACTTTGTTGATTAGCAATATAGGTATTGTTACAATAGATTGTCGGCTAGACATACGTATATGTTTGTGTAATGCGAACAATCAATTGTGATCCATTAGTACCTATAACTTTGTAACTGATAGTCCCACCTTGAAAATGTGACTCATGAATAACAAACAGGGTCATGAATAGTATCACTAAAGTTAAGTTCAAATTCATTATGAACATTCTACGTAATTTTATTTATTGGATATTGTATATATTTTCAATAGGAATCTATTTTAGATGCAATCAAATAAGTAATGACTTTTTTTTTCAATTCCAATAAGTGGTTATTTATTTAGAACAATAATTATAATGACGAAGAATATACACAGGTGAAAAAAGATAAAAACTATTGAATGAGGTATTCAATTTATACTTAACACACTTACACACTTGAAAAATTTTGTCCTTGATCTTGAACTCTTGCCTTTGTTTGCAATCGATTATTTATAACGATCTAGTGAAGCTACTAGAAACATGTTACGCAATGATTCTTGATATAAGAAACAGAAATAAATTTTATTAAACATGTATTGACCATAACGAAGATGTTTGTATTAGAGATACAAGATATTGTGTCTTTCAATTTACATTTTCTTATTCTTAATAATTGATTCATTTATTTTTTCTCGATTAAAAGTTGTAGAAGTCGTTTCATTATTGTAGTAATAAACACATATACCTTCTTTTACAATGAAATATCAATATATATATATTTTTTCATCCAAAATAAGACAAACGAGTGAATATAAAACAAAGATTCTATAATAGATGACTTTTATTATGAAAGCATTAGTTGTCTGAAATTTTGATGCAAACAATATACGTATTAAATATATCGCTTTGTAACAGACATATATTTGAGTATATCAAGTTTAAATTTATCTAGTATTTGTGCAATAAAAACCAAACATTTATTTAAATTTTTAATAGAATAGAATGTAAATATTCTTTGTTTATCTAACAAATTCTTGTTGTTTTTCATCGAAAAAAACTTCATTGTCTAAGCCTTTGATTTCTTGTAATTAACGTTGATGGCGTTCGAGCAGTCTATTTATAAAATACATCACTCAAATATCTAATTGGCCTTTAGAATGTCTATGTTATGTTCGATGTATTCTTTAAACATGCATTAGACACCGAAAATTCTATTTCATTCTTTTCTTATGTAGTACTTGTTTTTTGGCAATTATAATGTTTAATAAACGAAAATTGTCGATCTAATAATCAAATAATATGAAACAGAAAAACAAAAGAAAACATCTACACTATATTAATTTTTCCAAGTGATTATCACAAAAAAATGAAGTCACTGTATATGTCAATCAAAAAAAAAAATTTCAGAGTCGTCGTCGAAAAACTTTGACTCTGCAATGCTCTAATATTTTCTATTTATTTGTCTTCGTTTCAACAGGAAACTTTATACTAAATCCGGAATATCTTCAGTTGAACAAGAGAGGAAAAACAATATTTGTAAAATGATAAGTATATGTGTCAGGCAAATCTAAGATTTTGGAAAAATTAAATAGGCTTTATAAAGATTCAATATTATGCTATTAAACTTTGTTGAATTATGTTCCAATCAAAATAATCAAGTACTTTTTAGCTTATGTATTCCATTTAATAGGAAAATAAATGGCTTCTCTCAAAATTTGATGATAAAAAAACCATAATATGTTGATTTGCTTGTTCATAAAAACCCTTTCTAACATAGTTTTCTTATGTCGACACCGAAGAAATCATTCGTGCATAAATGAGAATATGAATAAATGAAAATGAATACGCTATCTACTTAAAGACAAGAAGTACATCATATGTTCTCTTAATAAAAATGAAAATTAGAATTTATTTTAAATAAAAGACAATTATTTCTTTGTCTTGTGGCTAATTAAAAAAAAGAAATCTGCCTAACGAGAAAAGCCCTTCACCTGATAAATCACTATTGAATCGAGACTATGTTCATTATGCTGATCCGAGTGAGCTATGAATAACTTAAGAAGAGTTTGTGCCTTTAACTTATTGCTGCGAAGATATTGCACTTTCATGGCATTTTTTAATTGCTCTAGAAAAATTGATTATCGATATTTTGCCTTGAAATTTTGCATAGAGACAATGTTCAATTAGAATAGTTTCTTGTTGTTGTTTCACGTATTACCACTGTTCCTATTCTAAGATACAACTCTGGATATAGCATGTCTTTTATATCGCTCATATAAATCGATAGATTTAATGCTTGCATTTTAGGATAGAAGCAAATCAAAAGATCTCAAACTACTCTCGATAAGGCCAGTCTCTATGCAAAGCTTCAAATCGAAATTTGAAATTCAATTTTTCTGGGTCATGAAATTTGTTTTAAAAGATACTATAAAAGTGCAGTATCTCTGCAGCGATAATCTAAGGGCACGAACTATCGTCAAGGTATTTATAACTCATTTAAATTTACATAGAGCACATAGTCTCGACTCAAAAACGATTTATCAGTTGGAAAGCTTGTCTCGTACGTTTATTCTTGCTTGTGATATATATGCACTCAATTTTTCTCAATAAATAATGTGTATCACAGGGGTACTTATACAAAGAATAAATTGCATTTTCTTATCATATCATTGACCTCTAAATTAAACTCGAGAAGATTCATGTTTTTTTTCTATCAACAATAATTTTAACTTCATTAACATTAACAAAAATTAAATTAGATAGTCTGTCAGAAATAAATTGAATGACTGATAGATGTTTTCTGAAAAAGGTTTTATTAATTAGTTCTCTCTTATGAAATATTTTAATCAAAATATCTACTATAAGACTTGTCAGAGTAGAAAAGTCTATTCAATAATTGAGAACAGAATTATATAAATCGTTTGATTTTATTAAATTGTGAAAAAAATAATTCTTCGTAACTAAACTTGACACTCTTTCAGGTCATATCGATCTCTATTAGCCTGTTGACATTTTTGTTATTGATAATGTTAATCATATTTTTCATTTAATTGATTGTGTTGTTTACAACAACCTTTTTCTCTATACTGTGAAATCGATTTTATTGCTTTTTATATTGATTTATACTTTCGATATTTTTCTCATAGTCTTTCCTTTATTTACTACATGAACAGTATACGATGATTTAAATAATAATCTGATCAAATTAGTAGTAAAATAAATTCCTGTTACATTTTTACGTAATCTTTCATTTAGATAGGAAAAAGTATCGAAACACAAACACATGTCCATAACATGATTTAAAAACCTAATGGATGAACAGGTACAGTTGATTCTTTGTCAACTATTTCTCGAGCTAATTGTGCCATTAATTTTGTTCTTTCAATAAATTCTGGACTTTGAATAAGATTAATATTATTATTAATTCTATCATATGCTTCTTCACACCATATTCGAACTAAATTTGATTCATGTACAGCTGTAGGCACTTGATATTTAAATGAATGTGTACAACGTGATAAACTAGCTGCCATTGTAAATAAATCAATAGTAATATCACCAATACGATGAACAATAAATTGTTCTTCACGTATTGCTTTACCATATTTAATAAGAATTTGTTCTATTGTTTGACCAAAACGATCAATTGATTTTGATAAAAGTAAACCAGATGGATGAAGTGATGAATGTATATATTCATTTATATTTGGACCTGTTGACATACCAATATTTCGACGTAAACGTTTTGAACCTTCACCAACAATAGCATTTAAATTAAAACTTTTAACAGCATTTTGTAATTCACGTAAATGTGAACCAACATATTGCAAGCCAGTAAAAGCAACAAATAAACGAAGAATATCATTAGCACCTTCAAATATACGAAAGATGCGTAAATCACGTAAAACACGTTCAAGACCAGTGCTTCTCATAAAACCCATTCCACCATGAATTTGAATTGCTTCATCAAGTACATACCATGCGGATTCAGATGCAAAAACTTTTCCAATAGCTGCTTCACCTAATATTCAAAATATGAATTTATTGAAAAGATTAAAAGATAAATTTTTTTTCATTACATTGATATTCAGGTATTCCACGATCCATATTTTGTGCCAAAAGATATCCAAGACTTTCAGTAACATATTGTCTCATTTCCATTCGTACAAGTTTTTCTTGAATATTACCATATGTATCAATTGTACGACCAAATTGACGACGATTTTTAGCAAAATCCTATAAAATATTACTTCATTAGTTTTTTTCCATGTATCATAGAAACTTACAATTGATTTTCGTATAGCCATTTTCATTGTTCCTGATAAACCAACGACCATACCAAATCGACCATTATTTAAAATATTCATAGCAACCTAGAAAAAAATAATATTGGAATAAAATAAAAATATTTTATTTTGTTTATTTTACTTTAAATCCATTTCCAACACCACCAAGTACATTTTCAACAGGAACTTTACAATCTTCAAAAAATACTTCAGTTGTATTTGATGCTTTAATACCCATCTTTTTTTCTGGTGGTCCATTTGTAAGACCACCAAATTTTCTTTCAACAATGAACGCTGTCATTTTATTTTGTACTTGACCTGTCTTATCATCAACACTAGGTACTTGTGCAAATACCGTAAATATATCAGCAATACCACCATTAGATGTCCAAATTTTTGAACCATTTAAAATATAATATTTACCATCTGGTGAAAGTTCAGCTTTTGTTTTTATTGAAGCAGCATCACTACCAGCTAGAATATACATAAGAAAAAAAAGAATATTAAATTTAAATTTTTTACAAACGAAATTCATACTTGCTGGTTCAGTTAAAGAAAATGCTGCAATGTGTTCACCAGCAGCTAATTTTGGTAAATATTTTTGTTTTTGTGCATCAGTACCAAATAGAAGAATGCCTTTAAAACCAATAGATTGATGAGCACCAACACAAATTGAAATAGCAAGATCATGACCAGTTACAATTTCAAAAAGACGTGCTGCTTGTGTATTTGTTAAACCAAGACCACCTAATTCAACAGGTACTTGAATACCAAAACCCCCTTGTTCTTTTAAACCATTCATAACTTCATCTGGAATCTGAATGAAAAAACAAAAACAAAATATAGACTATTATTTTTAAATAAAAATAAAAACATTTCTTTTTATTACTTTTTCAATAGTATCATTTTTAGCTGAATCATTTTTTTCTTCAAAAAATTTCCATATTGGATCAACAAGCATTTTTACATTATCCTTTTGTTCTTCATTAAGTACATTAGGATATGGAAATAATTCATTAGGATGGAATTGACCTCGAAATAAATTCATAACAAATGAATTTGATGTTCGAGATTGTTTATCAGTTTTGACAGTATTTTCATTAGATGTTGATGAAAGATTTTGCTGTTCTTTCGATTTTGAGTTTTGCTCATTTTTATGTGATTCAGATGCCACTGGTGTTGTAGCTAATGATGCTGCTGTTGTGGCTGTTCGATGACTTGCTACTCGACTAAGTAGTGAAACACATGATGGTCCAAGTCGACAACCTGCACTAAGTAATGGAGAATTCATCATCTAAAAATATAAAAAGATTATTAAAAAAGAAATCTTCTTTTCAGATATGTTACATCGAGGCCACTATATAACAAAAAATACAAAAAAAAAACGACTAACGCATGGTACGTCGCTACAATAACGCTTACAGAACAAAAAAAATTACAACCATACCAGGCGTACACACCCCTATAAAGAACGCAAAGAGAAAAAGTGACAAAGTCCATTCAGTATGATGTAAGCATAATAAAAATAAGTCATGTGATTGGACTTTAAACCTTTTAAGTCAGTTGAAACTCATCCCCACTTGCTGATAACAATTGTTTTTTTTCTTCTTGTGGTGATTCAACCATTTCACATTTACGTTTATTAGTTTTATGATTAGAATTTTTAAATAATTTTTTAAATATGATCTCATCTGTTTTTATATTATAATTCATCGAATGAAATTCTTTACTAGCTAATATATCATTAATTTCTTGAATTGGCTGATTAGATTTTGCAAATAAACTTGTTTGATTAGATGTAAGTATTGAAATAATATTAACATTAAGTAATACATTACTATCAAATAAAACATATAGATTACATTTGGAATATATTGTATAATCATTAAATAAAGTTTCTTTTGATGGAAAACAATAATCAATAATTGTACCATAACTTGAATCAAATATTAATTGACGTTGTTCATTAGCTAATTGTTTTATATTTGATAAACTTGTTAAATAAATTGAATGTAATCGATGACCATAAATAGAGAAAGCAATATAAACATTTGAATTCATAGGATTACAAGAAGCAACATCCATTTTCCAAATTGAATGATCTAATGTTGAAGATAAATCTAATGATGATTCTTGTGGCATTGTATCATTTTGATAATCTTCTAATGATATGGAACCATTTGGATTATATAATTGAGTATAAAAAAGTTGTTTTGATGATAATGTAAGAGCTTTTGAATGTAATAAAACAAGTGGTGTACAATCTGGAAGATACCATAGACGAAGTGTACCTATAAAAAAAAATCAGAATAGATCTAATTATTTTTTACAACAAAACAAAATTAAGCAAATATTTACCATCGCCTGATGCTGAAAGAATATGATTATTATCAATTATTTTAATATGAGATATAAATTCTGTATGACCAAGACAATATTTTTCACTATTGGAAATCAGTGGATAATGAATTAAATGAATTTTTCCATGTTGATCAGCTGTTAATATATATGATTTTTTATCATTTATACGAATAAAAGTAATATCAAATACCATAGATAAATGTTTCATAATGCGACTTTCAGCTGTCATAATGAGATTTTTATTATTATTATTACTATCATTATTAAATAATAAATCAATTTTATATATATCACCATTTTTATCAGCAATAAGTAGAAATTCATTAGTTAAGTCTAAAGCAAAAATAAAATTTTTAACACTAATTGTTCTTTGTAATTGCCACCAAAGTTCAGTTTTTTCAAAATTTGATAGAGTATATATATACAATTGCTTATTTTGTCCATTTACAACTAAGAATTCTCCATTCGGACTAAATCTTATCAAATTACGATTAAGATAATTGAGATCATTAACATCTTTTGATTGTTCGTCAATCGATTCAACTTGAAGATATTGCCATGCAGATACATCATTTAAATCAAACATACCAACATTCCCGCTACGAAAATAAATAGCCAACCAACCTGTAGAACTTATTTTCATTTCAGACATTATCTAAAATATAAATAAAGAAAGGCGCTAGAAATAGAAATAATGTTACATTTCTCCATTCTGACTGAATCAACAATTTCATGGTCAAGTAATAAAAGTCAACAAAAACATCGTTGGATCATAATCGGAACTCTTATTGGTAGTATTATCTTTGGTTATATATATCTTCAATGTCTATTGCCATGTATAATTAAAAAATTAGTCAGTTGAAAAAAAAAACAGTTCAATGAGATTCATATAGTTTCTTTCATTTAGTTTCGACGCACTACAAATAATGTTTCATCATTAATAAATGATAAATCAAAAAACAATAAACGACATCGATTACGAGTTAAAACACGAATCGATTATGATAAACGAAATAATATAAATAAAAAAAAGAATACGATATTAAAGACTGAAATCGAACAAATATGAACAAACAAAAAAATAAACAATAAAAAACAAACAAACAAAATTCATCTGGACTTTTTTCAGGGTTTTTGTTTTTTCTTCCTTCTAATAGATGCAATAGTAAAACAAAAAGACTAAAGTATTCTCCTCATTTTGTTTTTTTTTTCACATAACAGGAAAATCAATTAATTTTAAATCATCAAAATGTTGATGATGTCCTACTCCTCCTCCTGAACTACAAGTTCTTAATTCATTATCAGATAAAACAAATGGATTGTTTTTTACAAATGTTTCAATATCATTAACACTTAATTCATTCAATAATTGATAATTAGTTACTGGTTCATCACATGTTTCATCAACTAAGGTTAATTTTTGTGTTTCGATATCATCAGAATTAAGTATTGTTTCATAAAATGTTGATGATTGTTCATCATTTGTTGGTAAAGTTTCTATAGATGGTAAAATTTCTTTTGTTTGTTCATTAGAATTAACAAATGTTATTTCATATTCTGTACCAGACTCTAATACATCTTTTTTTCTTATAGTTACATCAGTATCATGTTTTTCTTTTAAATGCATACGTAATTTTGATGCATGAAAAAATGGCTTTGAACATATCCAACAAACAAATGGCTAAAAGACAAAAAATAAAATACTTATTGTATAAAAGAATGTTTTTGAATGTCACAAATCAAAAACCTTATATCATGCATTTGTTATCATACTCGATGTATTATATGTCCTGATTATAAATGTGTGCAAGATCAAGACCAACAAAGAAAAATTTACCGAGATTGGATTGGGACCGAGACGATGAAAAAAAAAGTTGTTCATATTGGAACTAAAATTTTCGTTATATTTTCTATGTTTATTAGCGAAATATGTTATAAATTATGTCCACCAAAGCAACATTTGGAGACGAGGATAAAAAAAGACAATATTCATCGACTGAATTAATCAAAACACAAAGATTTAAGAATTTTTCAAAAAAGAATTTCATGCAAATCGGCTATGGACTAGTTTTTTTCTCGATCTAAGAATCTACAATTTCAGTTTACTGATTTCCAGCTCGAACTTCGCTGAAATATTAGAACACACTGCTACAAAAAGACATATTTTGATAGAGTTGGCACTTCGCTAGTTCCTGTATCGATGAATCACTGCCAGTATTTACATTAACTCTGCATCTTCCTATGTAGGCCAGGGCTCAACATATAAAATTATCGAGATCCGAGCTAAAAAATAAATTGGCTCCATACTTCTCGAGTTCTGATAAGCCATCACATTTCAAGTTAGAAAAACTTTTCTAATCCACGAATTACAGTCGATCGGACATGTTACCTTCAAAATCTAACGAGGAAATAAACCAACAAGTTACAAATCTTTACTATTAGTAAGAACAGGCTCGAGCAGTAAATGCCTATTTACTGGCAACTGATCGGTTAATATACTAGAACTGCATTTTATTATGAATTCATATAAATAACTAACGTATACCACGAATTTCGAACAACTCGATCGAATACATATTGTTCTTAGAATATCATTTTATCTCTGGTTTGATGATCAACCTATTTTTTTCTTATGATTATTTAATTTAAAATTTATACTATAATTTTTAATCTTCGAAAGTTCCTCAAACGCTAAATTTAGACGGTTTCTGCTTTCGTAGCTCTTCACAAACATTTTTCTAGACAACTTGGACTTAAGCTCAAAAAAATAGTAATTTTCATTAAAGAGAAGAATGATATTTTACTCAAAAACCAGATTCTTAGGCGTTTAAAATTGTTGGATTTCCGAAAAACTCATGGGATTCTAAGATAGTATGGTACTTTATTCTGGAGGAGTTGGACTGAATAGATTCTCTAATAGATTCTCTTTTAAATCTTCTAGCGGGCGGTCAGAGGCTTTTTCGACAGTTCGCTTTTGATCCATTAGGAGGTATTTCCGATGAGTCATAAACTATGAGTTTGTGCTCTTTTCGAATTTAGGTTTAGAAATTTTGTTTCAGTTTTTTCTGCAAAGTAATGACAAGAAACTCTTAAAAAATGTTTCGATAAAAACTGCAAGTTAGTTCAATATTACATTCTGTAAACAAGTATCCATTGTCTCCGACAATATTTAGCATATTCGACAAGTGATTTATATGGCAAATAGAAAGCTATTGTTTCATCATTAAAAATAGTTTTTCAAGTCATTTAATAAAATTCTCATTACTCTCGAAAAAAAAATACACATAACATTTCTAAGCCCATGTTCAAATTCTGGTTGCAAACTTTAATATTTGGCGCGTTTGAATGGTTGAAGAAACACGTTTATCAGAAACTAGTCTTCAATTTCTATTCAAACTAATTTATTGATTTTTTCAAAGATTATTTCACTGTTCTCGAGCAAAAATTCAGAAAAAATTTCTCACGAGAAAACTACTCGAGTGAAATCTAGCGTTTGATTTAGAACTTCTAGTCGTCACGCAGAGCCTATTGAAATTGAAAGAAATCTAGGAGATTCTTCTCCATGCGCTGCATTACACTGAATTTTTTTTACCTATGATATGGTATTTATAAAAATTGAACAAACAAATTTTGGCCTAAAATTTTATTCATAGACAGCTCTTGAAGTCGTTAGAATCTTCTAAAAACTTACGTCAAAAAGAGTGTTTTTTTCTCAAGATATGAAATGCAATAGAAATTAGATCTTTCGTCCTATTGGTGAAATATAACGATTTTTTTTTTGTATTTGATGTCTCGAGAAGAGATTGCACTTTTTGGCTGAAATTTTTCGGAGATTCTAATGACTTCAAGATTTGCTTATGGACAAAATTTTAGTCCGAAATGCGTCAATTCGAAAAATCCAATCAGGTGAACGACCATACTTCCAAAAGGACAACGCATGGAAAAGTATCTTCTAGACTCAACAGGCCCTACGCAATGACTGGGATCTCATCTCAAATGCGACGTATCACTTCGATCGATTCCCTCGTTAGCCTATATTCAAAAGAACATAAACTCACACCTTTTTAAATCGTCGAAAAATATGCCGATTACTCATCACTCCAGATAGATAATCGTTATTGAGATTGTAAACTAGCTGAATAAATACGAATTTGCTCGAGTGCTTACTTGTACTTGCCCAGCTCTGAACTCTAAAATCTTTTCTATGAGAACAAACATCTTTTGTATAAAGTTCTACAAAACCTCGATTTAACAACGATACATGAATTCAGAACATCATCTATGATTAGTTTGATTTTCATTATGTACATGAACTTACTTTATAATCAGCATGAATAATTAAATGTTTACGCAAATCATCATTACATCTAAATGTTGCTTGACATCGATCACAAACATATGGTCGTTCATCAAGATGACCACGAATATGAACTTCAAGTTTACATGGTGCAATAAATGTCTTCTTACAATATGGACATGCATAAGGACTAATGCCCAAATGTCGTTGAATATGATGTCGTAAATTTCCCCATTGAGAAAATTTTGAACCACAAAAATCGCATGAAAATGGTTTATCTATTAAAATAAACAAAATGTTTTCGTTTCAATAGTTAAATTTTAAAAACAACGAAAAACAAACCTCTTGTGTGTACACGTTGATGTTTTCTTAGAGCATAAGCAGATGAAAATGTTGCTTTACATTTTTCACATATTAATGACGATACTTTTCGTTCTGGTTTATATGTTTCTAAACGAAGTTTTTGTCCATGTTGATTAACATGTCTTTGTAAACGTTCCATTGATACAGTTATTAAACCACATATCGGACAAGTAAAACGAGTAGATTTTGGTCCACGTACACGTGGCATATCATCAAAATTTATACTTGAAGTTGAAGAATTTCGGAAAAGTTTATTATGATTATTATTTGTTAAACGTAAAAGATCATCATTAGTTGTACGTTCAAGTTGAACAACTGAATTTTTAATAAGTGAATAAGCAAGAACCCAATCATTTGGATTTGTCATATCAAAATGAGTTGGTATTGAAAGATCTAAAAAGCTTAAAATGAATATTGAAACATCTATGAAAAAGAAATTGAAATTTTTACCTTGAGATAAATTTGGTAAACAATCAATTTCTGAAGTAAGCGTTTCAGTTGGTGAATAACTGGGTAAAAGTTCCGATGAAACAAATGTTGATGATGAGTTTGAATTAAATTCATTTTTTAAATTCAATAAAAATGTTTCATCAATATTAGATAACATTTTCTTAATAATCTACAATGCATATAAAAATCGATTAGATCAACTATCATTTGTTCATGGCTATAAACGATCGAACAAACAGCTGTTCTGTTATTTCTAGTCTGATTTAATTTTCATTGGATAAATATCTATACCCAGCCAAATTCTTTTAAAGTCACTTTTCGATAGATGCCATACTGAGCGATCGCTTTTTTTAAAGATATTTAATTTCGATTTATTAACATAAAATATTTTAAATAATGATTGCTTTATTTTCGAAAATAAATGACTTATGTGATTCCTTTCAAACAGATGTATATATTAAATTATTACTAGATTAAAAAACAGATTTATTCTATGTAAATCTTGCATCGTAATAGAAACATTTTCTATAGAATGTTCCATG